ATCATCTGGGAAGAGTATGTAGATTTGCTTGACCTTGCCACTACGTTGATCACGCAAAATTCGTTTCGGCTCCAACGTTAGCAATCGGGTAATATCCGAATAACATCGTAGGCACTATAAAATCAAGCGCTTAAACGCCTATACTTAATCCGTCATTGAATAAGACGTTCAATGTCTCGGTTTCTTCCTGGGACTTGTTCCTCATAATGCTAATAGCTTGTTCTCTCAGCACGTGACTCTAAAAAAACATTTTTGAAAAAGTAATGACTTTTTCGCTCGACTTATTCTAGGCGTGTTTGCGCTATCAAAGCTAATTCCTCTACGATCGATTCTCCATCCGATCTAGGATCATCGTGTTGTCATGTGTAAGCAAATGGTTTTATTCTTATTTGAATGCTACCCGCTAGGTGTGCATTCATGTCCCGTTCCTCTAGACTAATTCGAGTGGTTGACCTTTGGCGCTGCCTGTACTTCTGTACAGCCACCAGGAGCTCCCTCCATAGTGTTGGGATCAGGTGTACTGAAGTTTTGTGCAGTCTTGCTGACGATTGTATCGCATTCGAGGCCGTCGCACTCACTCGCAGTACATTCACGTGCTTTTGGAAGCATTACATCGTTTATCAGATGGCAAACTGATTAACAAGAGGCAGACATCTTCATGGATCGATGCTGCCAGCTCACTCTTGGCTAGTACCTACTGAGCCAAGGTTATCTCAGGATGACATCAAAATTGTTATCCAGATCCACTTCGATGAAATCGTCATTTTACTGTCCGCCCTCTAACGTATAGTAGATTCCTACTACCTTTTTTCTTAGCGATTATCAAAGAGCCTGTAGCAAGAAACATCGCCATCCTCGTTATTAGAATGTCGCGCTCAGATAACTTAAGCCTACAATTCTCTAGCTATGGCGATGAACTAAGTTGTTCGGCTCCCACAGTCGACTAGGACACGAAGTAATAATTCTTAGCCACTTTTAACCTTAAGGTGACGCGAGATACCTCCTCAACAAGTGAAGAGACACACAATGATTGTGTATCGAGAGAAACTTTCATCGACAGGTTTGCTATTTCTATTGAGGTTGCTGGATCAGTTTGGCGCTCCGCTTTTATTGACCCCAATTGTTTTTGGACAATCTGCTTTACTGTTGCGGTCTCGCAACAGCATTAGTCCTACGGCCAATTTTCTTTTGGTAAATGGCCTATCATTTTGCCCAGTGTTTTTATGGTACTGGGTGTGGCTATTCCACTCTTAAGTGTAGTGTCCCAATTTCTGGCAGCGATTGTACTTCTGCAATCGCTTATTGTTTAAAGAGCTATGTCCCTCGATTTCATATACAGAGGTGCATTATCTCTATATCACCCGTTTCTCTTCGTCTAGGTGGACGATAACAGGTCGATCTTATATGATTCTGGCTCATGCTGAAGTCCTCCTGGTCCGCCGCTGGGATTGCTTGTTCAAGCGTGTACAACTCTAAGCAAAGCGAAAAGTTCCTGACGGGCTCTCCCGGGAGACCTTGGATGGCCGCAATTATATGGTGTGTCCGAGTACTGGGTTTCCAGTTACACTACTCGCGAGGAGTCGCATATGTTCAGCGTAAGTGTGCACTTCATGTTTAACCTGCTTGAATTTTAGAAGCTCTGATCAAGCCATGAATTCAGCTCGTGGAGGTTCAAATGTCTGTTTGAGTCGAGTTATAAGGCTTTCAGCAACTTAAATGTGTTGGAGTGGCGATTGCTCAATTTACGAGGCGATCCCGGCTCTCCACTGATGCCCAGACGATCGACTATCGGAGGGGGTACTCCGTTTCTGTGTCTTGTTATTCCTTCCTCACCTTGTGTACCCGTCGGTAGGGCGGGCTGCACTCTTCTCGGTGGACTCCTGTCGATAGAAAACTTGACCGTGTCTGAAATGGGTTGGTTTGATCGGGCGGAAATCTTCGCGCGATCACGGGGTACTTGTAGGGTGTTTGTTATAAGTCACCCAGATCTCAACGAGATCGCCTTGTCCACTGTGTGAATAATTGATACGCGACCCTTCTGACCACTTGATCCGTCTCGCGATCTTGCGTCTTGTCCTTTTCGTTCTTACTGCGTCCGATCACAGTTGGGGGGGAAGATTCTTGATCCCCAGCCAATGATCTGGGATATCACTTTGTTTTAGTATACGTGACTTTCTTTACGTCGGGAGGCCAAAATTCCAGCCCGGAAGAGAAGCCGACGCGTGTACTTAGAAGCAAATAGAATTCTGTTCAATGTCTACCAACCAAAAGCTAAGACTGTGACGATTCCTGTCTATATGCTAGGATGTTCTGCCACGTGTCCTCTATCTTCGGTGATTGATCTTCGCATGTGTGGTCCACTTTAGACAGATCGCCGATCTCTTCGGCCGCCATTCTCCCCGAATGCTATCTCTTCGATCGATCGACGATCTCCTAGATCGATCGCTGGTCGTCGATCTCCTTGGCCAATCACTGATCGTCGATCTCCTTGGCCAATCACTGATCGTCGATCCACTGATCGTCGATCTCGGTCCCTTGGCTTGATCTTGGTAACTTGACATTCGATCCCATTGTCGTGATATTTAGTTGTGGTATTGCGATTTTTACTCTCGGTATCGTGGTATTCGATCTCGATACTGTGATATTCGATCTTAGTATTGCGCCTCTCATCAGCCAATTAATCCCTCTCAGCGATTTGTCGCCGTTGGAAATCACTCCCTTTATCGATCGCTCTTTCTTCCAAAATCGCTCCACCACAAAGCGTATGGGTCGCTCATTTCCATCCCTAAGACCCAGGTCTTGGTACATTCCATCCAGTGGGTCTAAGCAAATTTGAGTTTCATTTGCTCATCGTCGATACGACGTGCCTTTATGGCTCTGTCTATTTCGACGAACCATAACAACAAGGAGTCTTCCTCGGATCCTCTGTACTCGGAGATAGGGACCTTTATGAATTCGGGGCGACGCGTGTGTGTCGTCCCGCCCACAGAAGCACTGAATTGCTGCTGTTTCAACAGCTCTGTCGGTTGAGCACCGAGTTATCTCAACTTCTTGGCCAGTTTGAGATCCTTGCTAGTGAAGCAAGGCTACTTTCTCTGTTTCGTCGACAAGTTCATTTTGAATAAACCTGGCTATCGCGGCATGTTGTAGGTCTCTGTCAAGACTCTCCAATATGGCGCTAATGGCGGTTTCTCCTACAGTGGAACTGATACGTCCTACCACAATCCATTTGATGTCACTCAAACGGGTAAAGTCCTCACGCGTGGAGTGAAGGCTCTCCTCCTCATCCAACGCGTTCATGTCGAATGAGGTGGTTGTGATCGCTGACGGACTACGAAGTGCTATTAGGTGTAATGGGGCACACCCTTATCAGGAGACTGGTAAGATCTTGTGTTGATTGAATACAAGGCTGCGTGCTCCCGACGTCACGTACACGTGGCGTGAGGAAGCGCAGCGAAGTAAACAGAACTAAGAGCTCTGTTTAGGGAAATAGTAGAACTGTAATGTAGTTAAGTTTCTTCGTCTTTGTCTTAATCGAACTACATTAAACTACAATCGCCTATGTGAGTTTCTCGCTCACTACCCGTTGCGTGCGTCCATCTGCTTTTAGTGGGTACTCTGGTTATGTAGTGTCTACATCAACCAAAAGTGGAGCAACCCAGAATATCCTTCTTGAAGGTAATATTCCGCCAACATCACCTCATCGCGACTGATGTTGATTGAATATTATCTGGATAGAGAATATTCAAAAATTGATACATTCGTATCAATTTTATGCAACGGGCTCACCTCGTCACAGAATCCTCACCCTTTCCGTCGGGAGAATGAGTCGCAGACTTAGCAGTGCTGCGCTTACTTGGCGCGAGTGGATTGTAGTCGTTCTTGTTGTCTTATGTACTCGTTGCTTTCGTATGTACTGGTTCCGATATGCAACATGGCACCACTGTGCCGGATATGTAAGTAGTGCGGCCGGACACGTTGTGCGGTATCTCTCAAAATCGACGGAAGTGTCCTATTCCCGAAAAACTATCGGTTCGCTGTGGTGGTAAATCGTTCTCGTCCTGACGTGAGATCAGGTCCAGAGTCTCTTGAAAGTATCGGATGTATGGAAACTCCGGCACAACCATAATTCTCCAGTGTGTGTGATACCTCTAACGGTGCATGACGTCGCACATGTTGTCACTAGTCAATACAGCCAGAGAAGTCGAGTAATATCTCATGGCATAAACAGCATGTGCCGCGTGGATTTAGTAGAGGAAAGATGAGCTCCTGATGTTAATGCTCGGGAAAAAAGACCGGCTGTGCGAGGAGTCTTGTCCCAACGTCAGATTTGAGGAGGAAGTTTCCGCGCAGGTTCTCCTACTGATTTGAGGGGGAAGTTTCCGCGCAGGTTCTCCTACTGCCTTTCGACCGTAACCGTTCAAGTAAGCACCTCCGACTGCACCTTGCGAGACAATTCACGACCGAAGAAGGCCAAGAATTTTCTACATCGGACTCTTTTCTATGTGCGGGTCCAAGGGCTGCTTGAGACATGAGCCGGTCCACCTCCAATTGCTATTGGAGGTGGACCGGCTCATGTTCACGCGACACTTGGCGGTCCACTGACCCTCATCGACAGTACCACGACCTTCTTCACTTCTACTAACAGCAAGGTATTGCGGCTCAAGTAGCCAGTGCTTACACCATCACTGTAGACGGCGTTTCTAGCAATTGTCTCGTAGTGCATGCTAACTCTTGGAAGACCCCTCCCAGCCATTCTGTAAATACATACGGCTGAATAGACATGGCTGGGTGCATCTCGACGAGCGATGTGCACTCTTCACTCTTGCATCTGCGACACAGAACATTCGGTTTGGACGCCGCGTTCTCTGGTCATGATGGTCATGCCTTTTCGATCTCCTCTGCCGCGTGTGCCTTGCTGCATACCTGTGCATTTGTTCACTCTTCGTTTTGCTCTCTACTACCCATTGACCTGTCCTGAACACCTTCCAGTTCGAGCTATGAGGTTCTCCAACCTCTATGTGCTCTTCATGAGTGCCCTGCTGCTCGCCTATACTGACCTCGTCTCAAGTCTCAGTGACTCAGAGATTACAACACCTGACGCCCAGGAGAACGAGGCTACCAAGGAACTACCGACGGATCATTTGCTCAGTGGCAAAGAGTTCGAGGATCGCTTACTGGGAGGAGACGCCGCAGTAGGCAAGCTCGTACAGCCCCTTACCGAGGCGTTTGATGTGCTCAAAGCAGGCGCACTTGTCACGAACGGACATGTGGACCAACGATATCGCCCCCTTGCTGCTGACGTTGTCGAGAAATACAAGCATCATCGAAGTCAACCCATCACTGATCGACAGAAGGCATCGCTCAGAGTTCATCGAGCTTTTGGTCCATCGCCTGACTTCATTTGGAAAGCCCATGCTCTGCGTACGAAGACAGAACGAAGTCTGGGTCGTTACAGGAGTGCAGTCCGCATCTCGATGGCAAAGCGTTCGGTAAAGGCAAGTAAGTTGGCGGAACAGTTGGAACAAATGCAGTTCTACAGCTGGTACATGAACTTCGGAACCGATCGGGAGAAGCTCCTAAAGGCACTAGGACAAGATCCCGCGCACATGGTGCATTCTATCAACAAGGGACGATTGGAAGCTATTCTAGCTGACTACGATAAGTTCTGTAACGACATGGTCTCGGCTGGCCGCCTTCAGAAGAAGAGTAACGAATAAATAGGGTGTTGCTCCTCTTTCGGATGTTGGTCCGTGCTTTGTCCTGCTTTCGTTCCTCTCTTATACTCCAGCACCCTCTCATATTCAACTAACACGCTATCGTTTTCCTGTTAAGCACAGAATGTGCAGCACTACTGTTTGACACGTGTGCATACGTGTGTGATCCTTCGTGCGGTGCAAGCCCTTGATGCAGAGACAAAAGCAAGAAATTCACTGCACGTCTGATGATGATCTCTGGTAACGTGGCGGCGCATTTGTATCGTGGGTGCGACCAAACCGGAATCGGTCTGCCTACGTGCATTACGACTTGTACATCTTACGTGAGCGTCTGCTCGAGTATCTTCGCTGTCGTGAACGGGAAGGATAAAAGTCTCGATCGATAAGCTGTCCGTCTTCTAAGATCTTCAACATGGTCAAGTAAATCTTGCATGCATCGCGCGGTGCACACGCCCGATTCCTATCACTTAGCACACTAAGATGGATAAATGACGACTTGCATAATTAGTGGTCGCCCTCTCTTCAGAGTTCCTAATCAACACTAATGGACCCACTTGACCGTGATTTCCCGCTAACATGACGACTTGATATCGATGGCACCTTTCCCAGATAAATGGTGATATGAATTTGGCATCAGCCGTCGTCGTTATCGAAGAACTCGATGCTATAGACCACGTCAGCCTTTGCAGCTAAATGGAATCCTGCGAAGGTCCAAAAATAGAAGAGAGAGAGCTTGTCTGCATCTCGGCTTTGGATACCTCGGCTAACATTCATCAAACGTACCAACCGAGAACTCTAGCACGTCTAGTACTAGATTGCACTTCTGCAGCACGTCCAGCAAAAGCTCACGCTTTCCACAATGAACCGAGGTGCGTCAATAGCATCATCACCGTTTCATTTGCTGCCCCGCTCTGCGTCACTGTTCAGGTGCCCAAAGTGCCCGAGCAAACCGGACAAATAAGGAATGTCCACGGAGGCGGATTCAGCTCACACTTGCTTGATAAAATGTCTATGGCAAGATAGAACATCCGATAGCATCGCACTTCTACCCTCAGCCATGTCCCGTCACCTTCGACCGATGCTTCAATCGGTCCTCTCTGATGCAATTGTGCACGCACAATACTTGGTACCGCGACTGCGTGCGTCCACGTTGCTAAGGTCTCGACACACAGCGGCGAAATGCATAGCAATGATACAATGTCGATATCTCGCTTCTCCTGATGATTTCAAAATAACCAGAGACTCGCTGCAATATCTCATGGCTTCCGTTTCACGGAATTTGATAGCACTGCAGCTTTCAACTGTTGTGCTTGTGTATGATGCCGTGAGGCGGCTCGTTGTCCCCATAACGTCATTCACGCTCAAAGTGCCTACGCTACGACGTAACGTCAGTATTCAGCACTTTAGAGGCCACTTCAGTTGTGCTTGCTCTCACTGAGCCAAACGTCGATCCAGGTAAATAATTCCGTCACTCACTTGTCGTAACTGCACAAACCGCGGACACGGTGCTTGCGAGCTTGCGACACTTGGCTCTTTTGTTCTTGGCAGATACGCAACGATTCCAAACTATTGCATTGTCACTAGTGATAATAGCTGTCGACAGGTTCCGATGAAGGCGTCGAGCTTTGTAGAGCATGAAGTTAATCAGATGGGTTGGGGCAGCAGAAACTATTCAATGTCGTCGCTCAACGCCTCGTTTCGACGGCAATTGCAGTGCCGCAGATGTGATCGTGACAGCGCGTCAAATAGTAGCATTGGTTCCAGAGCCCATATATGTGGGTAAAACTTTGCTTTCTTGTTGGCTGCACCGTTGTCCTTCCTTCATTTTGCAAAATGGCATAACCTGCACCATAGTATCGAGGTACCGCGCAATACCTTCAGCTTGCGTCTTGTGCTTGCCCACCATTCTCAATACGGCCTCCGTCAGTTAACAAACGTGGGACTCGTTGACCATAGAACTGCTGATAAACAGCCAGACTTAAATCGACCAGGACAGGGTGATTAGTGTACTTAGGTCTCTAGCAGAATATCCACGCCAGGTTAAATGCCTTCATGACAATCGACGGTGGATCATCTTCTCTTAGCATCTCGTCGATGGATTTATAAGTTAAATGTACGAGTCACGTGGGCTCGAAATTCGAGCAATTGATGCTTTGGCTGACATGTCGTGTCTAAGACATCCGATGTTCGGACGATATGGATTCAGTGATTGAACTAGTGAGGCTTCGTTGGCATTTGTTGACGCCGACCACGGCGCATAACTCTTGTCGTCAAGTCGGCAACACACTCAAAGACACGCGCATACACACGGGTTCATCTGTGCAGACATTTGAGCACATGAACCTGCTTTGTCTGAGCAATGGGCGGTTGGATGTCAAGCGTACGTGGCGTTCAACAACGTCAATACAACTGCACAAAATCACTTCATGATAGAAATGCTGCATCCTCAAATTGCAAGTTCATGTTCTTTCACCAAAATCCGGTTCATCAGGCGTCACGCAGATAAATAAGTACAACAACCCTGACTGATTTAGAGATCATCTTTGACGTGTGATGAGAGCTGTAGGCATGAAGCTAATCCAACAACACTGAGCAGTAGCATCGAGCGTTCTTCTCGGACGGCAGAATGATAGGTAGCTGACCCAGGGCTGTACATGGACCCGCGTGCAATCCCAACACATGTCATCTATAATGAAGGTGTTGTGGTAGCAATAGCAAGCAGCACCAGTTTCCTAGCCATGATCGAACAAGTGCATAGGGAACATTGCATCCCCGTGAAAACGTAAAAGTAACATCGTCCTAGCGAAAAGTGATGAGGCAGCATCTGCAGTCGACGACGGCACCCAAAACGAAACCAGCACCACCGTAGAAGCTCTTAAGAGCACGCGCGCAAACGTTTAAGCAGAACAACACGGCACGTCCGATCGATTGAGTCACCAACTTGCGCGAGAGTGCGCTACGCCCTTGTACAGCAGTGTCATATTTCTGTACTGATTGGATAAAGCACATGGAGACGGCATGGTCAAGGCACGTGCAAATTCGTACGAGCGTTCCAGGCCTTCATCGCTCGATCACTGTGGGGCGTGTAAGGTAACAGATAAACGGTGCCGCTTTCATTGCAGTGAAAGTCCATCGTATGCTTTTGCTCGTGATGTCGATGCTGCTGTTACTTCACACAAGTCTTCAATACTTGTAATTGCAGATCACAAAACAGTGCTGCAGCTTCAGTGTGTCATGTGCTTAGGAGCCTTACTTGACAGTGCCCGGGACCTACACGTTTGAACCCACTTGATCTTTGCCAACATGTAGTGCGCATACGTCTGTGTAGACTTCACGTAAATCAAGGTCGTGCTGTAAGATTCCTTCTTCATGACAAATAACTGATCTTCTGCACATATCGCTGCTGTGTAAGCTTGCCCGATGTAATTCCACGGTAGAATACGTCAAGTATCGAATGTGCATTGAACCATGGACATCTGACAACAGGCTTAGCCCTCCTCATGCCGACGCCGATGTGGTAGAGTCAAAGACCCAGTACATGTGGAAATGATTAGGCATGCGGTAACACGAAGCCCAATTGCACGCAGCGCCCTGGCAGCAGCCCACGACAAACGACCTTCATGGCATGACATCTCGAGCTGAAGTCGGGACTAGCGAATCATAATGCAAACACTTGATATGCACAAGCGTTGTCCATTATACACAAGTTATTGAGAGCGTAGGCGTACCGCCGCACTTTTGGTTTCCGGAGTAATTTTGTCACAACAATGTTACATTTTCTAGCTTGAAACAGCGTCTGTCGTATACCGGCAGCACGTTGTTCTAACGACGTGCCCGGTGTATCGTATTCACGACGGACGTTACTTGACTTTGCGACCCGTTTGATATCACTAATTCACATATTGGAAGTTTGCGACGCGAAAAACGGAATCCTTTTGAATACTGGCACATCGTTGAATGTGGAACAAGGATGCCGAAAACGGCAAATTTGTATGCGTTTTCGCGTGCGTCCGCTTGACTGTGTTCAACGTCATTTTCCATCATGGATGTCTTCACGTGACTTGGGTAATAACTCGCAGCATCATCAGTTTTGACTCGTGAGCCTTCTTGGGGCCCGGCTGCGGCACTGGTACGATAAAGAGAGCTTTTTCAGTGTACGCGCTCAGTGACATTGTGGCCTGTATTGATGAAGTTGTCAACGGCTTCGACATAGGTAGCTTGCTGCCACAGCTGCGAATCAAATGGGAGGGCAATCAGCCAAAGCATATCGGATCAATCATTCTCAATCCTCCGAGTCTTCCAAAGGCCACAGACCGAGTGCACTACGATTCACGAGACTCGCAACGAGAACTGTAGTCGAAATGCGGAGACAGTTTTGTAGCAATCGCTTTCTGCGATGCATGTAGCGCACGTATGGTCTCAGCCATACCTATGATTGGCTCCAAATCTCGAAGCGCTTCCTGATGCTTGTTCGGCACCACGACGACGCAAAACAAAAGTGTTCGAGGCTAACAAGGTGGGATTGACCAACCCCTCAGCCACACGCTGTACAATTCAACGTTCACGCGAAGTTCTCGACATCAGCAGATCTCCCTTTTCCGTACCCATATCGATATCCTGATCATCCTCGACGTCAGACGCTTCGCAGACCGGACAACTGTCTACGCCGATCGTTCGCCGTCTGGCTGTCCGCCTTTGCAATGACCTCGAACTGTCATCTATCAGTACCGGCTGCTTCGTCCAAAAAGTCTGCCAGCGTGAGGACATCTAGCAATGATCAATTTTGTGTTCAACTCGTCTACGAACCATCCATAAATCGGCAGAATGGATGTAATGGACCACAGTTGCACAAACACAAAGCTACAGGATATACTATCCACTCCACATCCTCCATTCTGCCCGACAGCTCACAATCTCCGGTTGCTATTGACAATGCAAAGTTTACATTGCACTTGCTGAACTTTTTTCAGCTTTCCCACTGCATGAGCCAGTTCTTCCTGCAGACCGAACGCAATGGTCTACTTCCTACAAACTGCAAAAACCACTTTGGCTGCCAATGACATGGGACGCAACCATCAAGTTGGACCGTTTTGCACAGCAGCAACACCAGGTCAGGATGCTTTGGTCATCGACGCTTTGTCTAAGACCTCGACTGAGGTGGCAGAATTAGTTGATGACTGTGCCACACACGCGTCGTCGGGTCCATCTCGTGACGTCTTTACTTTTTTTAATGAGCAAGATGCAGGTTTTTCTTTCCGCGTGTACATCCTCCGCTTTCGTGGTGCTTGTTTTCGCGTGCTGCTGCTGCCCATGGTGCCTACACCGGATGCAGCCAGAGATGAAGAAATGCCAACCATCGCGTCATCTAAAGCTGTTATAGCGGCAGTTTCTGCTGCTTCGAGAGTGAATGCACTGCTCTCACTTTTGACGTCGCTCTTTACTCCAACACCCGATAGCATTTCCATGTAGATATCCAAGGGTCCTGCCACTTTCGAATATGTCAGCGGAAGCTTGGTATACTCATTCATCAACACTTTTAGTCGGGATAATTGTTGCATCTTGGTTCCGGTTTTTATCATGCATTTATGAGCACGCGATACCCACGCGTCCACGCGTCCAATCAAGCTGCGTAGCACCGTCGAGATTTTCTTATCTTCCCATAGCCCATGCTCAGATGCATACGAGATGGCATTACTAATCTCGTCACGTGACGGGCGTTGCTGTAACAGGGACACCACCACGAGACTCCACGGTACCGCTCGTAGCAAACGGGCAAAACTGTCCACACCAGGAAACAATTTATCGATCTTTATGGGCATAGGTTCTGTTGTGGAACCAGCGGCCGGATCTAGTGGAGAGCACACCATGGCATCTAGTACGGACTCGTACTCTTGAGGAATGAATTTTTCGAAAACAACATTAGCACGTGACAGCAAAACTGTCGTATTAAGCAGCACACCGGCTTGCTGAGCCCACGTTTGTGCGTAAGACAGCATTTGATGCCGAGCGTGAAAGATATCCGAAGTCTCCCGAAGTGCTTGCTGAGCTTTTGTTAGGCGCTCACGACTTAGACGCGACGAGGTCTGCAGCTCTAGCACTTGCTTGCTAGCCTCAACATGCTCCCTCTTCATCTTGGCTAGTTGTTGCTCCACACCACCCGCAACCACCAAAGTGCTACCCATCAATGTGGCGGTTACTGGATTCAGCAATGCCGAGGTAAGAGTCTGCTGAGCTGTACCCGGAGCGGATGTGGAGGGAATCGACGTGGGTGGAGCCACAGGCGTTGCCATGGCGGATGTTGTTTGTTGGCAGGACGAAGCGGAAAAAGTAGACGAAAAAGTCACTGGAAGTGCTGGTGAGGTATTAGTCTTCCCAGCATCTAAGCACTCCTTCGAAACTGTCGCACCATTTATAGTGGGCGCTTTAGCCGAACTGCCCGCGTCGATCCTCGCGACAAGCTTGCCAACATCTTCTGGATTCGATACACTTTTAAGTTCTTTACCGACGGCACGCATGGGTGGAATCAGGATACTGGGATACTGCTGGCGATTTAAAACTGCGACGTTTATCCCGGCGATAGTGGATGCCGCTGACAAAGCCGTGTTGGCATTACTAGAAGCAGTAGTAGCAGCGGATGATGGAGCAACAGCCAGTAAACTTGTATTTGTATTCGCAGGGATCGTAGGGACCGTTACACGCGCCATGGCTTTTGAGGTCACCACATTCGCCATGGCAACGGCAGATGCTGGCGCTGCCGACACTCGTTCAGCCGCAGATTGCCCAAGCTGGGATGTTTGCTTCGATGGATAATGTACTGCAAAAGTACTGTTTCCTTTCATCGTCAAGCAGGCCTTTGCACGCTCGGTGTCGTCAATCCGTGCCCGCAGCTGATGCATCTGGTTAGTGACGCTGAACAACAGCATTTCGGTACGCTCGACGGTCTTTTCCTCGCGCTTGACCTTTCGCAGTGCGCTGGCCTGATGTTTTTCAAAAGCTTTGGCGTACTCGTGCATGTCCCACAAAGTGCCTTGCTGTAACGTTATAGTTGCTTGCTGCAGCATTGCTGCCAACTCCTGCAAAACAGTGCAAGACGGGCAAGTGTAATGCTCCACCTTCTCGGCCTTTTCCTTGGACATACCAATACAACTGTCGTGGAACCAGTCATCACAGTAATCGCATCCAATCATTAAACCGTCAAAAGGTTGTCGGCAAATGCAAAATCGCTCAGTGGCTGACTTCAAAACGTCTCGATGCATATCGAGATCAATCACCAGACGAGCGCACTCGTACTCATTAAGTAATGCAAGCAGAGTTGCAACCCGTGCCTGACCTGTCTCGATTCCAGACCCTAGCACGCGCTGCTCCCAGTCAGTTGCAATCTCTAGGTGCTCTTTTAGGAAATCAAATACAGGAATGTCAATGGCAATATCCTCTCCTTCCTCGACAAGAGAACGCGCTGTGCCCATGCTAAGTCGTTGGGCTCCTTTGGTTGTTAGAGCTCGCAAACGTTTCTTTAGCTTTGATAACCAGATTTTGGCTTTCTTGGCTTCATCCATCACAATTTTGAAGGCACCCTGCTCCAGAAGAAGTCCACTTCCGCTATCAAGCAGCGCCTGTAGCTCGTTTACCTGCGCGTGCTTTCCTGCCACACATTTGTGAACGCGCGCGGTCCACTCAAGCACCACCTTTTCATGAGCCTTTAAGTACGGTAGTGGCCAAAGCATTAGCTCCATAATTCCCAGGGTTTTAAGCTCTATGATACCATGAGACGCAGATTTCCTTAGATCTTCAGCAATCCTGTCACCCTTCTCGACTAAGTCTTGGAGAGGAAGAATTTCGTCGTAAAAGAGCGACCGAGACCCTTGCAACCAGTCGAGCAACGATATGACCAGGTCTAGCGCCTGCTGCTCCGGAGCTTCGACGCTGAGAATTTCACTTTCCTTTCGTACATGCACAAGCTGTTGCTTCCACGCGTTCAGTACTCGCACAGATTTATCCGTAATATCCTCCACCATACCGCCGTTTTCTCCAGTCAGTACCAGCTCCTCGACTGTTTGACGTAATTCGGCTTCTTTTAGCTCCAAACTATTAACAGCTTCAAAACTTTCCTCTGCCATTGCCAAAACTGACTCCAAAAGGTCTTGCCCATTTTCGGCCATCCATGATCTCCTTACATCGATAGCATTAGCATCGTCCTCCTCGTCCTTGGATACGGACTTTCGCATGCAGCCACTTTCAACTCTAACACGCGCCATAATCTCATCGATGTGTATCTCCACCGCCCGCATATTCATGCCAGCGATACTAGCAGAGCTAGCAGTATTTACACCAGCCACTACTCCTACTTTTACGCCATTTTTGAAGCAACCACTTTCGCAGTGAACGACTTCAAGTCCAAGACGCCTTTCTTTACTATCCAGCACTATGCCAGGATTGCTTGAGCCCTCTGCATCGACATCCATCGTGTGTCCATTGGCTTTCTCGCTACATGCTTCATCCTTAACAGCTTCCATTTCCTTCTTGGGCCAAGGCAATGACACTCCAGTGCCTGCAAGCTTGCAGTTTGTGTCACCGGTATCGACAGCAACCACATTGCCGACACGGAGCGTCTGTTTAGCCTGTTGCAGCTTCCCATACACGAGAAGATCAAATGATCGAAGACGATCGACCGCCTTTCCAATAGGGACACAGATTTCACCATTCATAACCTCGTGTGCCTTTGCTCGCCATAAGGTCAAATCATTGAGCTCCCTCGACAAGATGCGCAATTCGTCCCAAAATAAAAAGCGTAACTTCTTGGACTCATTCAATAGCTCGTGCAGTTGTTCGGTCGAAAACGATTCATTGGCTAAACCCTTTTTCCTTGACTGCCGTGGAGGAATACATTCACGAACGCGCGCTGCCCAACCTTTTTCACCTTCGACAATGCTAGCAAGAATCTGCCCCTCATCGAAAGTAAATGGAAAAGCATATATTCGCTCCAGTAAGGATGACGCCTGCGCCAGATCACCTAGCTCACGAGGCGTAAACTCAATCTCTGCTCTTTCCTTATCATCTGCTATGTCGGGAAAGTTAGTTCCAGATAAGCAGCCGATACTCATCAAAACAGCGCTCGCTTCGGCCTGCGCTTCAACGCCTTTTAAAAGCAAGTCATTCAGCGGCGTAGTGTATGAGGACACGTCAACCGCAAGAGCCTGCGACTTTTCAACCAGCTTGCCAATTGTGTCCATCGATTTCTTATTTGCTCTATCGCCATGTGACGCTGACGAATGAGATAATGACCTGGAAGATACCGAACATGGTACGTATGACGATAACGAGGCGAACAACTTGTCAGAGGCCGTAACACCAAGGTTATCTCGAAGCTCATTGATCCATTTGCGTGCTTGGTCCAAGGCAGCGTGGATCTCGCGTTCTATCTGTGGCTTCCAGCGTGACTGCTTCTTGGGATAAATGCGCTCCCGTATCGAATTGGCCTGTGCTCTCAGATCCTCGATTTCTTCAATAGATTTGCGAGAAGCCAACTTTGCTGCAGCGATCGTACACCATTCTCGTGCAGCAATTTCAGCCTCCAAAAACTTTTGCTCATCCATGATAACTGGGATGTCTTTAGCCTCGTCCAGGATTTCTTTCAGGTGGTCGAGCGTAATATTGGCACTATCATCGATTACTTTCTTCACCTTGGCGGCCCACTCGTCCGCACACACCAATAAATCTTGCATTTCGAACATTTCGGTACTAGTTTCACACGGCGCATCGTCGACGAGCGCACGAATTGCTTCCACATCCATTTTATTTGAATCAGCACTACTTGCTCGACGTGTGGCCCGACGATTAGGCATACATTTGCGAGCCTTTGCCAGCCACGTCTGTGCGTTCAGCATCTTGGTTTGAAATTGCGCCACCTCCTCCTCAAAATTCACTGGGATGAACTCGAGCTTCGCCAGCACATCACGCACAACGGGTAGGCTTACTTTGCCTTCCGCCAACATATTGTCCATTACAGACTTAAGTTCCTTTGCCTCATCTACCACGTTACGAAGTTGATATTCTTCTACAAAAATCACACGAGATACCGTCACTGCTTCGAAGAGCTTTTCCAACTCTTTTAGTGCCACCTTCTTGCTCTGGTGCCGTTTGCTACTACGGGTTTGTCCTAGCGCTTCTTTCAGCCGCGCAAGTGCCGCTTCAAACGCCCGTATCCTGGACACGACCACTTCCTTTTCCGGCAGTACCACCTGCATATCTTCTGCTTCGTGCAGTAGCCTTCGCAGCTGTGCGCAATCGACTTTCTCGTTCTGCACGACCTCACACTGCTTTCTCCACTGAAAAATACGCGCAACAAGTCGGGCTAGGACCCCCGCTTCTGTCGCTGGTATTAAACTTTTTTCAGCACTCGTCTCAGCATCGTCGTGTAATTGCCGCATCTTGTTAAACACCTCACCATCAATTGCTGTCTCTCTCATGCAGCAGTAGAACGCCAAGAGCCACTGTTTCGCTCCTTCCGATGCTGTCAACTTAGTCGTCAGTTGTGGACTTTCTGTCACCGCCGGTGACGGCACTTCGATACTATGTCGTGCATATAGTGAGCACGCAGCGTCCGTGATATTGTAATCAAAGCGATGCAGGTGCTCAAGAGCCAGCGTCGTCATGTGTTCCGACGTATCAAACGTCGCGCCTTCTCGCAGCGACCGCGCCCACTGAAGGTACTTGTCCAGCTCGATTCCCAGCTCTAGAGACACCACGCCATGTACACACAAAAGATCAAACAGGTCAATGCAACTTTCAGCAATAATAAGCAATACAACCAACTAGTAACCGATTATCAGAATCAGATTATTCAAAATAATCATGATCATCATTCAGTCACCGTGACGGTGCTGTACACGTAGTCTCTCTCTCTCTCTATCTCCATACCTTGGGCTCGACCACGACAGTATCTCGATCGTGGCAGCTGCAGCACCTGTTTCTTCTTTTCCCTTAGCTCTGTGGCGTCTACCAGGAGCTCCGGGATCACAGCCTGATACTTCTTACCAACGCGCGAGTGAATCGCCACGAACTGAGGGGCAGCTGCGCCCCCACAACTGGTGCCAGCACTGCCGCTCCGCTCTCTGCTGCTGCTACTGCTGCTGCAGCTTCGATTGCTGACGCTGCGGCGCTCGCCGGTCGCGTCGTCGTCGTCGTCCGAGACGCTGCCTCGTCGACTCATACCGAACAAGAAGCCGCGTGAATGACGCTACTAGATGCTGATTGGTGCAAACCCGACCTCCTCGGTCCGTTGACCATCACTCTGACATTTGGTAGTCAAAACGAATCCGTCTCAACTGGTGTGGCGCACAACGATCCAGGACCACCTCAATTAGTCTACGCGTATCTGTGTATACTTTTTTGTACGTACACAAACGCATGAAGCTCCTCGTGACCGCCACCGGTCGTCCGGCGTTGGCTGCGCGCTGCGCCACTAGCCTATGCAGGGCGTCTGGACCTGCACGTTTTCTACACAGTTCACGCCCACTTCTCGTACAGTCTTTCGACGACTCGGGCATGCCGCGACTGCAAGACACGCCTGCGAATTTGGTGCGTCATATCGTTGTGTTTAATTTATTGTCGTCGGGATTTGTCTTTTTGTGTCGTCAATTAATTGCACTATTTCATTCTAATAAAAGTAAATTACTAACAAACAAATATTTTGATATTGACTGCTGCCTATTATAATGACGGTCATAGGGCGTGCTCATTGTGCCGCAGCAGCGCGCGTGGGTCGTCGAGCGCTTTGGCAAGTTCCACGACGTGCTGACGCCTGGTCTGCACTTCCTCATTCCGTTGGTGGACCGTATCGCCTACGTGCACTCGCTCAAGGAAGAAGCGATCAAGATCCCGGGTCAGACGGCCATTACGCGGGACAATGTGACGATCAGCATTGACGGCGTGCTGTACGTGAAGATTATTGAGCCGTACAATGCCAGCTACGGAGTCGAAGATCCGCTCTATGCGGTCACGCAACTCGCGCAGACGACGATGCGGTCGGAGCTCGGGAAAATCACGTTGGACAAGACGTTTGAAGAGCGCGAGTCGCTCAACTTGAGCATTGTCGAAGCGATCAACCAGGCGTCCGAGGCCTGGGGGATCAAGTGTCTGCGATACGAGATTCGTGACATTTCTCCACCTCGCAGCGTGAAAGCTGCCATGGATATGCAGGCGGAGGCCGAGCGTCGGAAACGAGCCGAGATCCTGGACTCGGAGGGTGAGCGCCAGGCGTACATTAATGTAGCTGAGGGCAAGAAACGTGCTGCAGTCTTGGAAGCAGAAGGAGCAGCTGCGGCTATTCTGGCAAAGGCAAAAGCGTCAGCTGAAGCGATTCAGCGGCTCTCGAGTGTTATCCAGGAGACTGGTGGTCGCGACGCAGTGGCACTCCAGGTGGCGGAAAAGTATGTGGACGCGTTTGGTAACATTGCCAAGGAAGGCACGACTGTGCTGCTGCCGTCCAACGTGAATGACCCTTCAAGTATGGTTGCATCGGCTCTGTCTATTTTCGGCAATATCCAGAAACAAAACAGCAAGGAAGCTGCTCGTCTTACGGACAAGTCGAATCAACAAGGTGCTGAAGGAAAGCTCGGCGAGTACACATTGGACAGCGTCGACATGGACTCGGCCAAGGACTAGTCCAAGCTTTTGTAGTAGGTGGGGGCCGGCCAAATGTCATACGAGGCACCAGCAGTTGATGACAGGCCGAGTGGTCGTGAATGGACGTTTTGGAGTAATCGCGTCCAGGAATTTACTGTATTGGCTTTGAGGCAATATACAAAAACGCACGAGACCTGGATGCAACGCTGGATGATCTTATATGAACATTTTGTGCAGCAGTTGTCCTAATTCTATCAGTATCGCGCATGTCAAGTGACGACCTCTTGCGTTTTGCCAGGCCCATCTTACGCTTGTTCCCATCTACACTTCGCTTGAACCAAGACTGCACTAGCAGCTCAACTGATCGTTGGACAGAGCACATTGCGTGCTCTTTATCCATCATACGGAGATTTAGAGCCTCCTGGACTTCAAATTGTGCGTATATCCCTACAATGTAAAGCAGCCTTTAAGCTTCCATCACCTACATCAGAGCGTCATTGTTTTCGGTGCGTCGCAAATGACGTGCAGAACAGCAAAGACGCGAACCGGATGATAGACTTACCATAAAAAAGTGGAGACGCGGGCAACAAGCTCCACTTGTCAAGGGGTGACTACTCCATTTCGTGATGGTTAAGATGGACTTCTTAGCGTCCTTTATGAATGTTGCTTCATTCCTGGTACTTCAGGTGATACGACTGAGACACAATCCTATTCTCGCATTGATAGATAGACTTGGACCATCGACATTTCGTATGCCACATGTGCTTTCATTGTTCGGAGATGCGTTGATGTATAGTGTTTGTCCATTCTTTCGGTACTATGTTGTTGCTTTACAAACACGAATGCTGGACAAAAGCGTAAACTTACGTGAACAAACCAAGAATCCGCCAACTTCACACTGGCGGACAAGTGTAGTATCCGTACTGTCGTAGCGCTCAGACAATGCATCACCCACAGCAAAAATCGAAGCACCAACTCGAGAAGGGTAGTTCTTACGCGAGTAGGTAGGACCAATCGGTCTTCAAATTAAAAGAATCAGAAGCTGGTACCGTCGGACAGATCGAGATTAGTTGCGATGCAAGACAACTTTTGGCCGCGGACTCAGTGGGTCAGTGTGTTCAACAATGGTTACAGCACTCTTCTGTGTAAAACCAAGAAGAACATGTACAAGAAAGGACTCGAATGCAGAGAGATCGTCATTCATGCGTCCAATGTCGATCCTGAATAAATCGGCACCTCCTTGTTGATAATCATAGAGGCTTCGAAATAGCCGCCACACATTTCAAATCAAGAAGTGATGTGTATTCCTTTTAGACGGACTCAACACCGGTGATTTCAAAGCAGTATCTATGTGAGTACGTTGTTGGCATGAGCGAATCGCAAGTTAAGCACAGAAAAGTAGGCAGCTGTCTAGAGCGTCGAAAGAGCAGCCGGGTTGGACCTCGAACCGTGCAACGATGTTACGGTACAATGCAGGATTCGTGATGTGCATCGCGGGTCTGTAAGGCTCGACAAGCCGCAGCTACGGCGACAACTTGGTACTGACCGCACTGAATGAAAGTCTAGTCTATCGATAAAAGTCAGACGTTAGTCCCTCACTTCCGTAAGAGCTGAATGCAGCTTCAGTTTTGGTAGCTGTTGTCAGAAGTGAGGAGTTGAGATCGTGTACCAAGAATGTGATACGAATGTTGATTGTGGACGTTTGTGCCGATTATCTGTGGAGGTTTCCTTCACCTTGTATCCCAAGGGACAGTCTGACGCTAATGTCATCTCACTGTCCAGCGGCTTCGTCAGGCGTATCTTGAACTTGCTACTAATTGACGCGACACGATCGTCGGGGAGTCAATAAGTTGTACTCAGATAGTTGATACGCACTGAGTGTGCATCAACAACTGAGCAAGACCACATTCAATGACGACACGGAACTCATTCAACTCCAATGCCTGCGAAGTAGACATCCTTCTCTTGGAAGGTCATGCACGTGGAAGCTGATACAGTCGCTGTATGGCGCATGGGTTCAGTAGACCTTCGCACATACAGCGACATGACCGTTACGTCGCAATCAGCATTTTTCTTGCTCTGCTTAATCAGTACCGCACGTATCACCTTGCCCGTCGAGGACTTTTCATCGCGAAGCGTGCGGCACAAGCGCGGTCTAATACGAACTCTTAGTCGATCATTTCCGGTGCCAGAGACACACAATCAGGTGCTACAGTCTTCTGCTCATTCTCTTCGTCGGTAGCATCCTTGTCGGTTCCAGCTAGGCAGACGTACGTGTTTGTACGTCTGCCTCGCTACCTAGATGTAATGAAACAGTCTATAAGCAAACGTAATAATTGATGCGTGTACAAACGATTGCACGCTCGCCTCGGCAAAGTTTATCGTGTTGGCATCGATCTCGCGTGTTTTGAGTTCTTGATCATAGTCGTTCCAGTACGAAGCGCTTCTTTCGCTTCTTCCCTCTGTTTTCCTATCACTTGCATAGCCACGTCAATCTACATCATCCCAACGTGATCAGACCGGTATCCGAGTATGGCTCAGCTGTAATATCTTCGTAGTAGTCCGCACGGTTCCTACGTAATGCCCGTCTTCGGTGAACGCAATTGTATGTTGAACAACATATTTTGAGCGTCGACTGGGCAACGTGTATTTCCTATGAACGATACAATTACTTGCCAATGTCCGATCCAGCTTGAGACACATTCATCCGAGAGCCACGCATTTGCAGTTCTGCGCAGCACAATTATAGACACCCGCTGCTTCCAGCAACGTGGGTGTTGCACTACCACAAATCCGCTTGAATGTTGCGACGAGAAACGTAACAAGAAAGTGAATGAGAGGTACGCGTGTCATCAGATTGGCTTTTTGCTTGTTATCAAGATACGAAAGTCGAGAATTACTCATGAGATATACAGGATGTACTTAGTGTACGGAAATATCGTGGGCCCGCAGGCATAACACGACGAAAGGTGCTGATACCAACGCTTTGCCATTTTCTGGAGCAGCTGTCGCTCATCTGAGCTATTGCACCGGATTGAGTCGGTCGCAATATTTTGACCTGAATGAGGGTTAGCACAAAATATCTGAAACGGCATTGGTGGCATGCCAATAGTTCGGTTCTCGATTGTTAGATCAAGTCGTAGTCATTATTTTACTTAGCATAACGCTGATCAACAGCAGTACTTCAGGATGAGTGATGTCAACTTTGCGGATCAAATACTTAGGCTTGATTGATTACCGTGTTCCTGATCTGGCATACGACGCTAATGAAGACGAATTTCTTTTCATGCGCGCTTCTGCACTGGATACTACATGCGACCTTTGATAGCTGGCACCTACTAGTTCTCAGTGCCGCTACGAGTTACAGCGTATACAGAAAGGCGTAAAGGTAGCATCAGCGATACGGCCTTTACCCCTTCAATAGGGCCCGTGCTGTAAAACGTTAGCCCAACTTTGTTACAACTTTACTCGTGAGCTCGAAAATGCACATTGGGCACTCGGGTCTGACCAACATTTTCAGCGGGAACAGAAGGAGACTTGTCGAGAATCCATACGAGCTGAAGGATAATCGACAAGTCGGTTAGAACATTCACAGTGATCAAGCGAAATCCTCCATCTTTCCGCATTGCCAAGACACAAATTATCGTTCTGCAATGGTATCGCGTCCACAGCCGACGAAGAGAGTCTCTAAATCAATACATCATGATGACGGTAACGTCCTAATGATCTCATGCTCGCATCTGACCAAAAAAGTGTGCAAGGAGGGGAGTCTGTAGCATTCAACAACAGGTGATATGACTGACTTGTTTGGGATGGAAGATGATCCAGGCAATAGCCGAAAAATGGAGCGCTGACTTGTTTTGAACAAGCCAGTATGCGCTGGTGGTAGTTGCCTCCTCATTCGTGTATTGCGAATCCACAAACGCAAGCGGTATGCGTCAATGTGACAATCTATTCAGTACCAGTTAGCTTGTTCATGATGATGGTATCGATGACTCATGCATGCTGGTCGCGGTAAGATTCGGGTGCGTGAGAGACCCCGATGAAAGCCACGCAGTGTGAATTCGCTCATTTCAAAGGTTACTTGCGATCAAGTCACTGGTAAGAATCGCCCAATACTTCGATCCTTGTGCCTGATAGAAAGCGAAGCACTTGCACGCTTTGAGACGGTACAATACATGGAGTGGGCACATGGTTCGCAGCGATTGAACTACTGTCAATGTGAATGACAAGCAGTTCTTTGACATGTTTGCCGGGTAGGTCAAAAAATTTCCCTCAGAAATGCAAGAGAGCGTGCCATTCATTATCGGCAGCTTGGTACCAATCTATCACGTAGGCCATAGTGTCTCTTCGCGTTTCGCTCTAGACTCCTCCTGTTCGTTGTGTCGTGTCCACACTAGTACTTCACACTCTTGAAACGATGTTCCACAGTTTTTTTCGAAGCCTGCAACCATATGCCCGGAGCTACCCCACTGATGCTACTAAGATAAGTCACTCTCCCCTACCTGCTCTATGCGCGGGAGACCAAAGTACCCCTGCAACGTACCCACGCAATATAAAATTCCAAGCTGTTTGATTAGCGCGAGCGGCAAAATAAAAACCTGTTTTCAGTTAGAAAAAAGCAATAATCTACGCGACCGCTGTCGTTTCTAACACGAACTTTACATCTGCATCGTACTTGTCGGACACAGCATGAACACCAACGCCGGTCCAAGGGCGTCTCTCGCGGGCTTCGTGTCCACGTCCGTCTTGACGTCTTCCGACGGCGTGCGTGGGTCACTAGTACACTAGGAAATAGCACCATCTTCTTCATTACTAATTAACGAATCTGTGTACTACCATCACCACCTACTTGCGCCCATAGCTCTTCGGTGACAACGTCCAGGAAGAGCGCGTGACGGAGACCCCAGCACCACGAGCAGACGATCGAGGGAGCTACAAACCTCTGTATGAACAGTTGCAGGAATGCCAGGAGAAGAAAGACAGTGAGTGGAAAGCGAAGAATAACCCATTTGGTGCGTGGCCTTATGTATGTGGGTCTTTTGGCCGTGTTTTTTAGGCGGGTGGGTGATTGGATCCAGATGGGACATTCGACTGACGCGGTATAACCCCTGACTCTTTGTGGGTACTTTTTTCTTGTACAGCTCCGCCCAAAGGACTTGATGACGACGAATTTGAGTATATAAAGGAGCTGGAGAGTAAGAAGAACGACGTGGAACAACAGCGCCAGGCACAGCACAAGGAGGATCTGGCGGACTTCCGTACGCATTTGAGATACTGTGATATGACTTGTAACGAAAATGCTGAGCTGCGATATGGTCATGTGTGTTTGGTTCATAGTTGTAGCGCGCCGTGTACCGAAAGCGCCAGCAGACGCCTCGCTCACACTGCAACATTTGCAAAAGTTCTTTGCAGAAAGTGGCTCGATGACAGCAAGCAAGAAGCAGCGTGCTGTGGTGGTGGTAAAATCGAAGCGGAGGAGGGTCGACAAAATACGTGAAGCTGATGTCGTAGCTTCTGAAGGCTCTGACAAACCCAAACAGCAGCGATTGAAGAAGCAGAAGGTTGAGAATCTGTGTACGTCTGTCGTGGCCGAAAAGAAAAAGCCGCGTACGGCGGTACATGGACTCGTGTCGTACGGTAGCGACAGCGATAGTGATGGCGGCAACACAGCGAGCTAGCAATGGTCTGGACTCAATATATGTCACATGGTTGTCTACTACGCTGCACGTGTACTGCACATTCGAACTCTGTAATTACTGGAAAAGCAGTGGCGGAATCGCACCTCGTCGTGATGGTGTCGGCTGAACGAGACGCATGGCCGAAGTTCTCGCTGTGTTTGGCCCGCGCAGTGGAGGAGATGCTTCGACTAACACCCTGGTACCGCGTGCGGCCAACTTCTTTGGCCTTTCTGGAGTGCGTCCAACGACTGAAGAAATCCTCATCGGTCGGCCTGTAGTAGGTTTAGGCAGAGTTCTTTTGCCGGGAGCTGCTCGATCGCTTGAAACAGCAGAGTCGATCGACGAGGACGCGGCAGTTTTATAGAGACAGTTCTCCGGCATTCTTGTATGAAGAAGACGCGCTGTAAGTGTCTTCGCAGGGGCGCGACGGAGTGATCCACCAGGCAGATTAAATTGGCCTGGCGTCGTCAATGATCGGTGAGCCTTGGTCAAGCGCTCAGCCTTGCAGATGGGGAGCAATACCGCACTCACTGGTGTGCCAAGCATGGTGTCTTGACTACTTTCAGAGCTGCTGCAATGGTCTTCCAATCTCCGTCTCGATTTTCGAGGTCGCGACTGCATTTGCGTCTGCTTCAACTGATGAGGCAGTTGGACTTCCTTAAACCCGTTGCTTGCAATCGGACGATCGCGTTTGGCCGATCGTTCTTGGCGTAAAGCCGACAAAATGCTGTCGTTGCCGGCCACAGATGAGCGTGATGTGTCAACTAGAGGACACTGACGCGCCTTGATCACGGCCTGCAACCCAATCATCACCGTGGAAAACACACTCAGACCCAGGACCACCGTCACCAACAAATACTCATTTACCCACATCACGGCAGACGTGAACTTACCGTAGACAGCACAGCGTTCCCCACACCATTCTCGTCCCCTCCAATAGCCCTGTCTCCCTCATCCTCCAGCTCGTAAACCTTGAGCAAATACCGCATCAACCCGGGCATCAAAACCATCAGTCTGGCCCCCAATTGATGCTCGAGAAACTCGTGAAACGGCGAGCGTTCCTCGGCGCCGTCGTCCATCAATGACGGCGGATTGGCCGCGTCCAGCAGCAGCGCCACCCGATCCAGCAGCCCCCGCATCTCCTGCTTCTGCAGCTTCTTTTCCTCTTTTTCTTTCCTGCCTATCAACGCGCCATAGCGCAGTATGCGACACACGAGCTGCAATTGCAGCACTCGCACTTTAGCGGGACGCAGCGGCTCGTGTCGGCTGATCGATATCTCCAGCTCAGGCAGCGGCACGAGTAACGCGGTCCCTATCGCAGCCAGTCGCTTCTTCAAAGTCTTGATCTCGGTCTCGTCGGTTGGATCCAGCGCTGGAGTCGTCCACTGACCAGCATTTCTGGTCTGTCGACCACGTTGAACTCGACGCTGAAGCTTCGTCCACCACTCACCACCTTCCTGCGCGAGGACCAAGTCCAAGAACTCCAGAACGTTACCCGTTGACGTATCGTTTGTCTGCACAGACGACGGACGCTCGTCCTCGACGGCCACGGCCTTGAGGTACTCGACTTGCCAGTCGGTCACCATGGTATCGTAAAATGACAACCGTCGTCTTTCGTGGTCGGTCAACAAGAGTCGCAAACACGGCACTGTCGGTCTCAATTCAGCCTGTCAATTTCCACAACGGGCACTTTCGGCCGGACACAAAAAGCGCGGGAACAGCACGCGCCATCGACCTTCACTCTTGACCGACCATCACTCCTGACCGACCATCACTCTTGCCATTCAACCATCCACGCCTGCAAGCGCAGAAGATCGTCGCTGTCTTTGCTGCTATTGTTGCTGTTGTTCGCAATGGAGGACGCGCATGAGACCGAGATGGCGCTACAGATCCGTAACGACAAGCACCTGAAGCAAGTCGGCGTTGCCGTGCGACGTCCTCGCTCGCGTGCGTCGTGTATCAAGGGCCAAGCCAATGAAGATACCAAGCAGTGGGAGCTGCTGCTCTTCTCGATCGCTGACTCGAGCGAACTGGGCGCGCTCGAGTCCTTGCTCGTGCAACTTGCACCTTCCACGTGCTACCTGTCGGTAGAGCTCGAGCAACTGCAGAGCGTGGGCGACAGCAAGAAGCTGCATGCGCTCTTCCAGACCCACAACGTGGCACGAGTTTACGTGAAGAAGCACCTGTTCCTGGACGTGAGTAGCGTCGAGAAGCACGTGTCAAGACTCCTTGGAGCCGACACAATGGCGGTGCTGCCCGAGATGCTGGCCTGCAAGCTAGCTACCGGTTCGCTGGCCTGCTTGCTCGATGCACTGGGTGTCGTGACCGACGCGGACGCCTTTGGCTGCTACAAGTTGCACAAAGGGAGTCTCTCGTCGGCCATGCAGCTTGATAATGCTGCGTTGCGGTCGCTGAATTTGCTGCCGGAACCGAGCTCGACGACGACAGGAGGAGCGAGGTTCGGAGGCAGTGTCTTGGAGATTCTGGATCGAGGGAAGACAGCGATGGGTCGACGCTTGCTCGAGCGCTGGATCCGACAGCCGCTGGTTGATGTCGAGCAGATTGAAACGAGACAAAAGTTTGTGCAGCTGTTTGTGAACGACTCGTCACTCAGGATGGAGCTGCTGGATGAAGGGATGAGGGCGCTGCCTGACTTGGATCGACTGGCCACCTGTCTCGAAAAGAAAAAGAATGCCAAGATCGCTGACCTCGTGAGCGTGTACGACGCAGCGGTTAGTGCTATGCCTCGTGTGTTGCAGTCTCTAAAGAGCACAAATGTCAGTCGGGGTGGCGATGACACGATCGCAGACCTTATGAAGCGAGCGTTCGTTGCGCCGCTGGGCAAGGTGCTAGCAGATCTGCAAGGCTACACGGAGCTCGTCGAGGAGGTGATCGACCTGGACAGCCGTCCATCTCTCGTGGTGAATGCCAAGCACGACGAGAATCTGCAGGCGTTGCGTGAAGAGTGGGACAGCGTCCTTGCAGACATTGAAGAAGAGCACCGAGACGCACTGAACGAAATTGGTGGCGATATCAAGTGCGAGAAAGACAAAGTTCGTGGGTTTACGTTTCGTGTTGTTAACAAAAAGGAGGAAGCCCGTTTGTCCAAGCTGCCGCACGTGCACATCTGCCAAGTACTTGTAAGTGGAGTCCAATTCACGACGACAAAGTTGAAAGCTCTTGCCGACGACTACCGCCGTGTGTGCACTGAATACGAGGAACGGCAGAGCCATTTGCTGAATGCTGCGATCGAAGTTGCCAGCACGTATGTACCGGTGCTTGAAGCAGCAACTGCAATACTTGCAGAACTAGATGTGCTGCTTGGATTTGCGCACGCTGCGTGCCATGCTGGCTCGGGATATTGCCGTCCCATGCTGGATCCTGATGGCGACTGTATCGTGCTCACTGGCGCACGCCATCCTTGCGTAGAACTGCAAGACGGTGTGGACTTTATCCCAAATGATTACGCATTCGATCGTGACACATCGCGCTTCCAGCTCGTCACGGGGCCTAACATGGGAGGTAAGAGCACCTACATTCGCCAATTGGGAACCATTGCTGTGATGGCTCAAATCGGTAGCTTCGTACCGGCCGAAGTCGCCCGATTGCCCGTATTCGACAAGTTGCTGGTTCGCGTTGGTGCAGGTGACTTGCAGCAGCGGGGAGTGTCTACGTTCATGCTTGAGATGCTAGAGGCATCTGCTATTTTGCACAAAGCCACCGAACACTCGCTCGTGATTATTGACGAACTGGGTCGAGGCACTTCGACGTACGATGGCTTTGGGTTGGCATGGGCTATCTCTGAGTACCTCCTCACTAAAGCGCGGTCCATGTGTCTCTTTGCAACGCATTTCCACGAGCTCACAGCTCTGGAGCACGAGCACCCTCGCGGCTTTAAAAATAAGCACGTAACGGCTGTAGCCAGCGACAGGGATATCACAATGATCTACCAGGTGCGTGACGGCCCATGCATGGAAAGCTTTGGTGTCCATGTAGCATCGATGGCGGGTTTCCCCTCTTCTGTTATCCAGTGCGCTCGGAGGAAAAGCCAGGAGCTTGAAGGCTTTCAACGAGCTTTAGGGACTCCTAGTCAGGATTCCTGTGATGGTGGCGGCGACAGATGCGCCAAAAGGGCCGTGGAAGAGTCATCACGACTTGAGACCGAACAAGCTCCTCCTTTAAAGAGAATTGCACAGGACAGAAGACTAATAGCTGCGTTCGCTGCACTCCCTCTCGACAAGCTCACGTGTGCTGAAGCCCTCACGGCAGTTCACAAACTCGTTCGTTCATAAGAAGAAACCACGCAGTTTAGTAGCGTGCACATGTGTAGCGTAACAACGCTTTGAAATGCTAGCTAGTCAATCAACTTACATCGAATTTGCTAAGAGTGAGAACCTCTTAGCAAGCTCATGAAGAATTCAAAATCCCCTTTGCAAGGACGACAAGCTCGAATTGAGATGTTTAGGACAGTAAAATGTAAGCCATGTAATGCGTAGAACAATGCGTGTCGACATAATTGTCAATAATGTTTCAATGGCTCCCACCCTGTGTATGATACTTTTCAATCAGCTCAAATCTCCCACGAGGATGTGGTAGGCAAGCCCTAAAACGAGATAAAGACAGTCGTCCCTCCATATAGCGGACCAAAATGTGTGGCGTGTTCGCTTCGTTCTTTCCTTCCTTGCCTAAAACGCTCGTATTTGGAGGGTCAACCTGAACCCATTCTAAGAGATGCATCCATGGCACACTGAGTCTTTTGCACCGAACACTGCTTTCTAACGTGCTCGGTGACACTTGCCAGCTTCTTGGTCAATTCATCACTGTCGTGCTGTAGCAAAAGAATTGATGACGGACGGAGACAACACTCTTGAGCCTCGGATGGCCCAATCCTCACCTCGTCGGCACTGTCACCATCATTGTCGTTCTCAATCGTCTCATGTTATATCATGTCTGAGTTGCACTCGATCGACTCGTCTTCATCCGCACCGATGTACTCGCCGACACTGACACCGCAAGTCAAATATTCCATGAGCTTGGTTAGCTCGTCCTCAACAGATTGATCGATGCGTTTGTGTATTCGCGTAGTTGGGTGAAATCGGCCATCGTCACAATCTCTACGATAACACACTTCCTTTAGCAGTTGCGAATCACTCGCTCGGGTACCTCCTCCCAGCTCGATATAGCGAAGCGAACAGCCTCCAGGATATCTAACTTTCTATCGTTCCTGGCGTGGATTGCATCCAGGAGCCATCACACCAATTTTTTTTAAAACCGCACATTGGATGATCAAATAATTCTTATCAGAATCAACACGTGAGAAATAGCTGGTCAAGAGAACGTACATTCAAACTTACCTGCGTCGGGCGGTTGCAAATGTGCTGTCATGTCTGGCAGAAGAAATGCCGGATTGACATTATAGCATTCAATGGCGTCATAGTGAAACAAGGCGTTGTCCAGCAGGAGAAGCACTCGCCTTTTGTGCACTCAGCAAACGTTGACCTGTTTTGCCTCATAGTCTGGTTGTTGAAGTACAAAAACTTCATTTGCTCGGTATTTGCTTAGCGAAATGGTCGTGGTTGCTTCAATGTCCCTATGAAACGAGATCCATCTTCTCTGTCCCGGTCATGTTACAGCATATTGTGACTGTGACATGATCCTTTTCTAACTTCTCTCCACGGCGCTTCACCGCTGCCAATGTCTTGTTTGGGGGTAGGCGGTAGAAGAGAGCTGATCTAGCGGAGCCGCACAGACCCATAAGTCAAAGGAAGACTTAACGCTTAACGAGCAACTTAGTTTTAAAGAAATAGACTCAATGAGTCAACAAGCGTAAACCTTATGGTCCTTGTTCCAGAGGACCAAACGATTCAGTGAATCGACAGCACTTAGTGCTCACGAGTACCAGCTACCTCAAGGAGGTGTTTCTAACTCTTAGTGATCAGTGATCAACGACCAAAAAGACGCCTCGTAAGACACGTGTCTTTAAGATCAAAAGGGGAACTGAATTTTTATTTACGTTTAACCCTATAGAACATCTTAATCCTAATCTAGACAGTTATTTCCTAATTCAGTACAACTAAGATCTCTCCTACCTGGTGGCTGACACCAATCAGCCCCTATAAACCGATAAGATGTTCGATATCGCTTTCGATGGGATATCATCCGTGTGTCTAAGACACATGGTACCATGTACCCAACTGTGTGTAATCTCTTTACACACACACACACACCACCAGACTGACGTTTCCCAAAACGTCAGTCAAACCTTGTTCCAATCGAACGTTCCCATCCAACTTTGTTCTTCCACAAGGTCAGTGCACTTGAGGTTTACCTCACGCGTAATGCTGAGTACGATGTCCTCATCACCTAACGAGTCAAAGACTCTCAGTGATTACCTTGAGATAGGGGAGGTATTGGACTATGGCAGCGATACCAGTGTCCTGGGTGATGCAGGGACAATGTCCGATACACCCTTGTCTGAGGTACACCCTCGTACTGCCCCCTGTCCATTCCCTGAACATGATGATGTTTCGCTATTGGCGCCCCGCTCAATCCCCGGTTCGGATGATAACATCATCACGACCTCGCTCGATGAGCAACAACAGATAATCCTTTAACAAGGAGAAAGCACTCAGCGCCATGCGCAAATGGTCGCAACCCCCGAGCACCAACGTGACTATGTGTGCACTTCACCTAGTGTGGCGGAACGCTTACGTCAAGCGGCCGATCAATCGCTGGCAACGTGGATCATTGGCCGCATGCCTAAGTCTCCTGAGGAGGTGGCGAGCGGCCAGGCACTTCGCAAGAGGTACCTGGAGCCTCACCTAACGACCCAAGATCAATACAAGACACGCCTTGACATGCAAGCCCATGGTACACCGGTCCCACCGATCAAGGGTATACCTATTCTTTTGTCTGCAGGCGAAACAGAGAGCGAAGAAGACAATGCCTTTGTCCGCTGATTGTGCCGCACACGTCTCCTCAGCAGTATGTCTTCTCTAAGAGCTAGTGCCAATATGGCTGATGTGCGTCTCGAACGCAAGCTTCGGTTTGACTACGCCAAGCTTAAGGCCAGAGGCCAATTGCGTAATCCCACGCGATATGCTTCGGCTACTAAGGTAGCCGCGAGTGTTGGTCAGACGATGACCACCAATTCGCTAACCCACACCACTAGTGGTGGGAAACGGCCTCGGTTTCAAGATGACCTTGGCCACGATGTTCGAAAACATCCAAAGCATAAGGGCAATCTTGCCGTAGGGGTACCTCGTACTCCCATGAGTTTTTAGACTCAGGGTACCCGCGCCACTTTACCAGATACTGATAGTGGCCATGAAGACGACGTCGTTCCAGTAGTCTCTCGACATGAAACTGACGACACCCAAGCTCATCGAGCAGCGTTGGTGGCGGCAGGTGTACCGGTGGCAGTCCCTGAGAATTTGGGTTTCGATGTGAAAGGTCTTCCAGAGACCTTGGGGAAGACCCAATGCATGCTTAATGCGATTCAAAGCCGCCTTCAGGCGATGTAGTATTTTCAAACTCGGAGCGAGGCTCAGTCGGGCTTGCTGATTCGCTTGCAGCAATCCGGAACACCGCCCTCGTTGTCGGCGCCAGCGCCTCAAAGTTCACATGGAAAGGATATTGGTACGGCTTGAGTAAGCCTACGTAGAACACTGGTTATGTGCGCAATTTGCGTGGAAGGTTGAGCGTATACGCCAGGCTCTTCTTGGCAGTGACCGTAAATGGTCCGATGAAGCACGGACGCAACTTTGTCTTGAAGACAGCAGACACTACATTTGTAGGTAGATTTTTAGCATTGAGTAATACTTGGTCTCCGACCTTGTAACTTTCAATACAATTTCTGCCTTTGGCATCAGCTTGTTGTTTTTGTTTATCTTGGCTATCGGCCATTGCATCACGCACATGTCATAATACATTCAATCGCGTTGCGAGGAACTCGCCTACCTGTTTTTGAACAGTCGCAGGGCTGCTATCAGCAAGCAGATCGGCAACCTCTCCCTCACCAAGCCCTGAACCACAGAGTGGTAGCGTTAACGGAACGCGAGGCTGGGTAAAATGTGTACGTGAAACGGAGTAAAGCCTGTGGAGGCATGTACAGCGTTTATTAAACGCAAAATCAACAGCAGGGATCGTTGAGATCCAAGCTTAGGCGTAGCAGCGCAAAACTGCGCACAATGTCATTAATGACGCGATTAACATGCTCAGTTTGACCTCCAATCTGCGGATGATCCGCCGTGGACAAATCCAATCGGGTGCCGAGCACCTTGAAGATAGACTTCAAAAAAATTCCAATGAAGCGAGGATCTCTATGAGAGACAATTGCCACAGGCAAACCACGTTGTCGAAACACACGATCGATAAACAGCTTCGCTATATATTCAGCATCGATCGTATCAGGCACAGTCGCTAAATGAGCCTTCTTGCTCAAACGGTCAACAAAGACCACAATACCAGTGTTGCCTTCCGAATCCTTCGGAAGTCCGAAAACAAAAAATCCATACTCATAGACTCCAACACCCTGTGGGTACAGGCAACCTATCAAACGGTGCAACCGCATGTGCTGAGGGTCTGACCCGTTGACACGTTTCGCACGTACGCAATAGGTTGCTCACCCATTTGCACATCTTGGGCCACCAATAAGCCTGGCTCACCGAGCCATAGGTCTTTCTCACAACCGAGATGACCGCTCAAAGCAGTATCATGCGCCTCATAGAGGATTCGCTACTTTAACTCCTTATCATATGGAAGAGCGATACGAGGGATATCCTCAATATTCATGCGATAGCACAACAGGCCATTATCAATGGAATATTGATGTATCCTCACACGTAAACGTGCCGACGATTCTACATCCGAGTATTTAAACTCATCGCTCCGAAGAGCCCGCAGCAAAGCTACACATTGTTCAACTTGGCATAAACTGCACGGAATAAGTCAGAGCTGATGATAGCAGTGTCATAGCATGAGCAAGATCATAGTCAAGTCGGCGCGATACCGCATCAGCCAAGTCATTTTGCTTCTCTGGCTCGTATTTTACCTCGAAGTTATATTTTGCGAAGAATGAAATTCAGCAAGCCATTCTCTGAGAAAGATGCGGCGAATGCATCGCAATGCGCAATGACGCATGATCTGTATAGATCAAAAATGGCTTTGAGCCAAGCAGATGTACTCTGAATTTTACCGGAGCATACTTCATAGCAAGCAGTTCTTTGTCATGGAAAGTTCTTTTCAGCAGCTTTAAGCTGGCGAGACTCGAACGCAATGACGCGCTCGCGTCCTTTAACATCGGCTTGTAACAGAGCACTGCCAATAACAAAGTCAGATGCATCACAGACGACACTGAAGGGCCGATCAGGATTGAGCAAAGCCATTATTGGCGCATGAAGGAGACCCTCCTTAACCGCTTTAAAAGCGTTGTTCTCGGTATGCCCCAACACCAATCCACATCCTTTTTAAGGGGATTGAGTAATGGCCTAGCCATGTCTGCGTAATTAGCACTATACTTATGCAAGTAATTGGCAAGGCCAAGCCACTTACGTAAGTCCTTTTGTTTTTAGGAACCGGCCAATCGACTATGGCCCTTGCCTTAGAGGGGTCCGCTCGAAGGCCTCGCTTCCCAACGAAGCACCCTGAGAAGGGAATCTCTTCTGCACCAAAGATGCACTTAGATGCATTTAGCGTACAATTTATTCGTGCGCATGCACTCGAGCACCGCTCGTAAACGATCAATGTGTTTCCACATCTTATCGACCATTCGTTGCACGACTATGGACAAAGATGTCGTCACAGTACGTCTGTGCGTAACCTCGATGAGGTCTGAACAGTTGCGTCACCAGACAGTTAAAAGCAGCCGGGGCGCTCGACAGCCCTTGTGGCATAACGATCCAATCTTAGAGTATACCGCTCGGAGTACTCACCGCTGTTAGCAATGTCACTCGCTCGCATAAGAAATTGGTAAAACCCATCGACCAAGTCGAGTGCACTGAACATGGTACAACCCACCATATTGTTCTGAAGAACATCCTTTCTAGAAATAGGCCTCTGCGCCGGTATAGTGGCTGCAAAAAAATTATTATAAGCGTGCACAATGCGCCACTTGACATTCGTCTTCTTGACACAAATATCGGTGTTGAATGGGGAGATGTACTCTCACGAACCATTTCAGCCGCGTGCTTAGCAAGAAAAAAATTGTCAATGACATCCCACTGTTTTTTAGGCAATGTCCACTGCCGTGTTACGCAGTATTTAGTTCCTGGAACTAAGTCAATCTTCATGACGTACACCTCTATGAGGTGGTAAGATAGATGGTGGATTGTGACACACCATATGTTGAAATTACTTCACCAAATGGATTAAATGGATCCAAAAGATGTTTAAGGATAGAATATCTTCGCGCACTAAGTGCCGCTTTTGCGTCTTCTTGGACAGACTCATCTATCAATAAGGACGAGTTAAACTCAGCATCGGGTCTAATGGTCTAATGACCACTAATTCGAATAAATCTCCTGACTTTAAGGCCTGGTTAAACTCGCCATCAGACGTTTCGTTTAGCACACACAGAGCTACAAAGATAGAAGGTTTCCAAGGCTAACAATGCCATCAACCTGACCTGTCACTCCGTTAACAAGCGCATCTAATGTACTACTAGTATCACTCAGTGACTGTGCGGACGCCTGTCGCTTGCAAGTTGCCACCTGGCGTCCAAGTCGTCTCTTGGAGACCTAACACCCCTTAGGGGTCGGGAAAATACCGTCTCCTTTATTACTACTTACAGTAGTGCGCTCTATACTAGAGCAGATGGCTTGACCGACATCTGGTAAAGTGTTACGTAACTTAAACTCTTCACATAGTGGATTTCCACGTGCCTATCCACATACATTATGCAGGCCTAACCCTGAACTGAACGGCGTTTCCCCAACAATGTCATTACCGACATTAAGTGTGGCGTCTTCACGGCCGACCACGCTCGGTGGATTTTCACGTGCCACCTCACACACATTAAATGATCCACATCCTTATTAATCCGGCCATAGGCCAACTATGCTTTGAGAATGCAGACTCGTTATCACAACTAGTAACACTCAACGGAGTACATGCCTTATCACCGATATCTAACGAGCTACGCTAGGAATCGTTGTTAACAACATTGGAGTTAGACAACTCAGTCATTCCAATGTCCAGCACATTGACATCTTCTGTCAAAGGCTCGCGCCAGCAGTGCTTTTGTTGCCTAGTGAAGGTGTGTTCATGACTCTCCAAAACTTCGCTAGGAACGTTGCGCGTGGCGCCTAAGGTCTTAGGCCTAAAATCAAATCATGTATCATGACGTTCAAGCCACGCCATACCAAGAATGAGATCAAATCTCGAGTCCAAGTCAAGGATAAGAAAGCGTTCAATGCTGTCAAAGTTTGAAAACTTTATACCTAAGTTCAATGGAACTTTAGGCACAGTAACACGACTTCCAGTCGCTTAACGAACCGTGATAGAATCACCCTCATGCGCTGTAAGCGCCTCAGCATAATGCTGACTTTGCTCACGGGAACTACGTCGAGCATAGTTACAAGACGCTCCAGAGTCGATCAATATCGACCTAGGCCTCTCAAAGCCCTTAATTTTCGCCTCGGCGACTAACAGTCCAGACTTGTACCCACGCTCCATATCAATAGGTACGGAGCTCTTTGGGGCCAAGCTCTGTTTAATTTTACCTCCTAAATGTGTAGCAGAACCCAGTTCTTCCCCAGCAGGCGCCCCGCGCCTACTGGGCGTCGGCGTTTCCCCGTGCCATGCCAGGCTTCTGGCTCGGGGTTGAGTGTTGGCTTGTAGCCTGACGCTGTTTACGCAAAGGGCAACCAGGCCGCAAGTGTTTGGTGCTTCCGAACATAAAACATCGTCGTATGACGCGTTGCTGCTCAGCAGCTTGAAGTCCAACTTCACCTTAATCTTCAGCATAGCTGAGATCCATCGGTTCCGGCCTATCAAAGGCGACCACTCGTGGAGTTTGCTCTCGCAGAGCTAGGATTGTACCCATTCCAGACGAGCCTGGCCGACTTGAAGATATGCTTCGCATTTAGAGCAATTCTCACGGCCTCTTCGAAAGTAGAGGGGTGAACCCGAATACCTTCGGTTCTGGAAATGCCAGTATGAAGACCTTCCGTGAAGACAGTCACATAAACTTCCTCGAGCAGAAGGTCAGACTGCATTGCAGCCACAAGAGTTCTCAACTCTTGGACATAGTCCGATAATTCATTCTTACCCTGACGGGTAGACAAAAAGCGTTAACGCACGCGGTAAGCTTGGTAAGTTGGTGAGAACACCTGTACTAGTTTGTGACTCAAGCGACTCCAATGTGGGAAATGCCAAGTCATTCGATGTGCTACACGTCAATGCCCATTCTCTAGCTCTTCCATCGAGCTTTGAGATAGCCAGCGAGGCGTGTTGATGGTCAGTCTTGATCAGGCCTGATCCCATGGCCATCTCAATCTCACGGATACAGAGGATGAGGTTTTCACCCTCCTTATCGGAGTAGTTCTTAACTTCCACTCTAAGTGGACGAGGCCTAGCCTCTTCTTCTGGTACAGACACATAGCGTGTAGGCATAGCCGACGGTGCTTAGTCTTGGACCTGCTCTAGAAGTTTGGCTTTATACTACACAAAGCCTTCAACACGTGCATTTAGCACCTCAGGGACTTGTTAAACAAGAAACTCCACGTACTCTGGACCCAAAGATGCGTTCAGCTTATCAAGCGCGACCTTTTGGGCCTCAGAGAGGGGAGTGGGTTTTTCCATCCTTACAGAGGATCAGTCTAAAATACTCGGGCGTAGATTGACTACAGGTTCTACCAAGTGTAGCGGAGCCGCACAGACCCATAAGTCAAAGGAAGACTTAACGCTTAACGAGCAACTTAGTTTTAAAGAAATAGACTCAATGAGTCAACAAGCGTAAACCTTATGGTCCTTGTTCCAGAGGACCAAACGATTCAGTGAATCGACAGCACTTAGTGCTCACGAGTAACTAGCTACCTCAAGGAGGTGTTTCTAACTCTTAGTGATCAGTGATCAACGACCAAAAAGACGCCTCGTAAGACACGTGTCTTTAAGATCAAAAGGGGAACTGAATTTTTATTTACGTTTAACCCTATAGAACATCTTAATCCTAATCTAGACAGTTATTTCCTAATTCAGTACAACTAAGATCTCTCCTATCTGGTGGCTGACACCAACCAGCCCCTATGAACCGATAAGATGTTCGATATCGCTTTCGATGGGATATCATCCGTGTGTCTAAGACACAGGGTACCAGGTACCCCAACTGCGTGTAACCCCTTTACCGACGTGAAGAGATGATGGCCACTGGAAGCTATCGTACCGGGGTGATTAAGTCTATGCACGTCGAAGGTGGTTTAATAAACATGTTAAGAAACGCCGTTGCTACCCGTGAAGGTTAAAGTAACGGTTGAAGAAACGGCTGATGTCTTAGAGAGACGTAGAAAGATTAGTGTTTGAGTGGACAGCATAGTAAATGATGGATTGAGTGGATAGGAGTGATGGAGAACGATAACACTAGTCCATCATGGTAGCAAGAAACGATAACACTAAAAACAATGACAGAATCCTTTTATCACAGCGCCACAGACTTCCTCTTCTGGACTACCATGTCCGAACAAAACCATGCCATCACAGTACGCGTGATACTTCCCGAAAGACTCGGTCCGGAGCAAGGGGTTGGCCACCGTCACGACTGGAAGTGGGTCACCATTTGGCTTTGTAAACCTGCCAAGGACACGTTGGAAATAGCGTGGGTGACGACGAATGACGAGAAGGACCGCGGAGAACGAAAGACATCCTGTTTAAATACAGGGTCTAAGACAGCGTCAAACTAAATTACAACAAAGACGACGGCAGGCCCTACATCTTTCTGTCTGAAGAGGAGAGGGAATTCCAACCTTTGATCGCGCGGAACCAGATGACGAGAGAATCCCGCTGCGCGCCAAATACTTTCGGATGGAACGAGGACGATCTGATGCCCCTAGCCGATGCCGCTATCAAATCCACTTGGCCGACGCTTTCGACCAGCCAGTAAGCAAAGATGGAGATTGATGTAAAATTGAAGTGAGCTCGGATTGCTGCGCTGCATCTAGGAACATGATAGTCTTCATCCGGCACGTGCGCTTCGGCGACATTGTAGACAGAGTACGCTGCATTCCATGACTATGTATGGTTTTGCATTTACAGTGTTCGTCGTTGTTATACACGATGTGTTGTAAATCCTTTTGAACTGTCGTGCCCGATAATGACGTTAACCTGTTGCTTACAAGTACTGCAGAGCAAGGAAGTTAAATAAACTGTGCGGGTTGTGCTCAAGAACAAATGCCCCGTATTATCGGGTACACTCAGTTTATAATTTCTTTTTGCTGGCCTTCTGCATGGTGGCTATGCTTGTGCGTATCATGAGTTCTCGTAGATTCCTTGTATCAAATCAATAGAATTGGGTTATGCTTTGACAGAAAATTCTCGCGTCTTGCAGGATCTGTTGGGGCAAGAGTCTCTCCCATTGCTTGACTCCTTTAATTAGTCATCCGTCTTGCATCTTGCCAAACGACGACCCATTGATCTGCATCTACGGCGCGGAACTCGAAACTCCCGTGCCTCAACATTTGTAGCCGATGCAGTGACGTTAGCCATGGGCTGTAACCCTTTTTATAACTTAAGAATGGCAATTCGGGCATGACCGAGTTGAAGCAAGTAAGTGTTTGGCTTTCTATGATGAAACGGATAATATCCGGTGAAGACAATTTTTCCACAAGAGCATAAAAATTGTATCAATTAATACGGAAATTACAATGTATACTTGCTTAAGTAGTCTGCGCAAAAACTAGACAGCTTCATCGGACTATCTAACTTTCGTGTGCTCAGCAAGTGTCTTGTATACCATAGTCAAAGCAGCCATCGCCATACGGAAAAGATAGTAGTCATACCAGCCTCGTTGACCAAAGCGCTTTTAACAGCATTCTGACAGCATCCTCTACGTAGAATAATTATCTCGCGTAAATAATATGTTGGCTCATTCAGCGACGTACCTGAAGGTAGTACCAGGGCCATCATGATGTCTGAGCCGATCACGTGAATATTGGCGTCTCTATATAGCAAGACTTCTTTTTGACTGCGCACTGATCCTTATTTCTAGCCACACAATCACGTCGGTCAGTACGCTTCTGCTATAATTTTCAAGCATGGATGCTATAGTATCCCAACGATACGGAAACAGAAAGAAGTATAAACAACGTTCAACCGCAAACATGATGCACTGAGTCGCCACTCGACTCTACTGATAAAATATAATTACTTTTGTTTACGGGCAGCCGTTAGTTAAACATCGCTACACGCAAAATGCATATTGTGTACTAGGACGACAAAAGCCAAATTGTACATCTTCCAGGCAGCTTCTTCACGCATCGGTGACCAATATGGCGCTCGGCAAACAACCATACATGTCTATTTACCTCGACGTCCCTGCGCCGCTGGCTATACATGCTGGCAATATTGGAAGCCGCCTGTAGCAAAATGATTGTCTTTTGAACGTGCCTGTTCATTGTTCGTCAATCCTCAAATGATCAATTTCATGCCAAGGAACCACTCTTCATACATATTTCTGTCCTGCTACACGCCAAGTATACGCGTTGGTATGTCGACATATTCTCTTCGTCGTTTGTGGTATCGTATTTTTTTACATTCTATCCTGTTTGAGACACGCACACAAATATTACCTCTAAAGTAAAATAAAATCAAGGGATCGTCGTCCTCAAACCTATTTTGAAGTAGATCCGCTCCCTTATTTCCGCAAAAACCCACTCCCTTATTTTCCACAAAATAACCCACTCCAAACAAAACATCTTTTCACGTGTAGCTCCAGAAAAAAACCCACACTGCACATTCCCCATTCACTGGGTTGAATCGGACAAAAGTCATCGTCCGTCCAGAAGCACCTCATCACGACAATCCATCCGGTGTAACCCCTTCCGAACAACTGATTGGTAGAATTCCTCAACCCATTCTCCAACCAACCAACCACCAACCACCAACCAACCAATTGACCAATTGACCACTTGACCAGCCCCGTCAGCGAGCGATCCACTGCCGCATGGAGCTCCCACCGGCCAAGAAGCGGCGGCATCGCTTTCAAAAGGTCACGGAGCGCGTCACCAACCTGCAGCATGACCTCACGCTCCACGCCAAGACCACCGGTGCCATTGAAGAAGCGTCGCAGCTTTCGTTCCGAGAGGAGCTGGCGCTCCAAGCAGAACTCACGACGCTCGATCGGTTCCAGCTCCTCTTCCGCAGGCTGCAGCCACTTGTGACCACGACTCCACATCTGCTGCATTACCTGGAGAAGGTGGTGACGTTTTTACAGACAGAGTTACAGGAAGCGCCCCAAGAGCAAGACGACCCTATTGTACTGCGCCAGAGGCTTGTACCCGTGCTGAAGCTGGTCACAGCGCTGGCTCGAGAACTTGGCAAGGAGCTTTACCCGCACTTTGCTGCTGTCTTGCCGCTACTGGTGGACGTGATTGATACAAAGGACCCCGAGCTCAGCACGCAAGTGTTCAAGACGCTCACGATGCTGTTTAGCTACCTACGCGTGCAGCTACTTGCAGATATGGACGCAGTTCACAAGTGCTATTTTCCGCTACTTGGACACTCGAGAGATTTTGTCCGAGACTTTGCAGCGCAAACGTTGGCAGTGCTATTGAGACGGCTGGAGTCACCAAAAGCCATGAAAAAGTACTTGCGCGTGTATTTGACAGCTTTGGTGAAAGGATCTGGACGCAGTCATGACAAACTGCGCGATGGATCGGCCAAGTTATTTTTTGCGCTGGTGAAAAATGTCGGTCATGGGTTCCACTCACGGATGCGCGAAGTGCTGTTGTTCTTACTTGGTTCGTTCCGACCCATCAGCGCCGAGAAAGAGGAGACGCTGGAGCAACTTGAGCAACAAGAATCGATATATGAAATCGTCTACCAAACGTGCGGACTGATGATGAAGCACACGGACGCTGAGCATTCGGGGGAAATGCTGGAGTGTCTTGTGCTGGTGGTGAATAAGGTGGTGGAACTGCGGCATGCGGAGGATGAGATGCCAACAGAGGCTCAAGATTTGTATTTAAGTCGCGTGCTACGCGTGCTGCTTGGATTTGTGATTTCACGAAGAGGTCAATTGATTGCTGATGCAAATGATGCGTGCAAAGTGCGCGTGCCCAGCATCCACAAGATTTGCACTGCACTGGTTAATCCTGCTAATAAAGTGTTTACATCACAAAGCACAGCACTTCGAGATGTACTCATGGCCATGTTCGAAGCAGTTTGGCGGCTGTTTCCTGCTGAAGATGACGTAATCTCTGCTCAGATGAAGACCTTTTTTGCTGTGGCAGGAGAAAACGATCGGCAGAGGTATTGGTGCCACAAGCTTCTGGCATTTGTGGACCAGGCGCTACACCATAGCCACGTTAACGTGGGCTTTGTCGTTGATTTTTTGCTTCCCAACGCCCTCGAATACGCACTCAAGACTCTTTTGCAAATTGATGTGGTTGCATTCAGCGAGTTGCTGTGTCATCTTGGGGACTACGTGACAAAATTTGCAAGTGATATTAGCGACGGTCAAAGCGAGCACCTTGTGCGCTCGAAAGCAAGTAGCCGGTCTTGGCTACTGTTACTAGAAGGTGTTGACACTAACGCTGAGGACACTCTTTTTGATGCTGGCCGGAAGCTGTTTGAGCATAGCGAAAATGCTACCAACAGTGACAGTGTGGCTGCGATCTGGAAATTTTGCAAGGCGTTAGAATGCCTGCAGTTGATTGATGCGGGAACGATAAGTTTTACGACACCCTTGATTGCAAAGCTTGATCAGCGGTTAATAATACACGACGCTACTGTATCGTTCACTGAACTCGCTTGTCTCCGTGCTGAGCTGTGGCTATTGCAGCAAGCTGCTAAGCGCCACCATAGCAATGGCGCAGATTCAGCAGCGATGAAGGAGAATGTGGAGCAAGCTCTACTTGGAAATAAGGTGTCGTATAAGACACTGTCGACGTTGTTGATACTGATTGATATGGATAATGGTGTGGAACAGCATGCCGTTCTGACAGTCGAGTTGCTGTCCCAAGTGACAAACTCCCTTTTCGCTGCGTTGCGATCGCCTGCGCATGAGCTGCGTTTGGTGGCACTGCAGCTGCTGGCCCGATTTAAGCGCCTGAGTTTTCTCGATTCCGACAGTGGCTCTCTTAGTGGCCCGTGCATTCTTCCGGACGTATGCGTAAATCTTGAGCTAGCGTGCGAAGACATCGCTGTGGCTACGGAGCGCGAAGTGGTGCGCCTGCTGACACGTGTGAAAATATTTTGCCAATCATCTCAGACACCTGTGCTGTATAAGGAGATGGCATTGAACCACCTGTTGGGTTTATATCACGTCAAATTTTCTACGATCTGGCCGCACGTGGCGGATGCAGTGGAGTCTGTTTTGCGGCTGCACTTCAACGAGTGCTGGCCGTACGTCAGCTCAGAGCTTCTTGTAGCTTCACACCGGCAGGACGAAGAGGCGAATGAAAAACAAAATGAAGAGTTAAGCAACAAGAGCGCAGTTACCGCAGAATTTGAGCGTGCGTGCATGTTGGAACAGGGGAGATTTCCTGTGTCAACTGCGACGGACGCCATTACTCACCATGCCCTGATGTGGAAGGGGCTTACTAACTGTGCTGATCTCGTGGAATCGAAGACGAAATTCATGGTGCCGCTCTTCGTTACTTTTTTGCGTGACCAATACAGTGTCATTTACGTGAACGAGCTAGGCACGACGCGCCTTGACGAAATCGATCAGTCGCTTGCCAAGCTCGAAGAACTTAGTGGCAATGGTGACTCGAATACTCCTGAATGGCGAAGACCAGTTGCGTTTCAGGGTTTGACCACTAAAGAAGTGCGGGGCAAATTCGTGGATCAACTAAAACTTTTCGCGGCATTTCAGAACATGAAGGGGGCTTATGCACGGCAGCTGCTGCACGCTCTCTTCTTTGACCTACTGATGAAGTCGGACGAGACGATCTCGAAGCTAGCTTTGCAGTGTATTTATGCATTCAGGAGCAAAGCGGTTGTGTCTTACAAACTGCAGCTGAACCGATTGGCCGACTCGTCTTCGTTTCGCGAAGAACTTTCCAGCTTTGACATTAAAGATGGAGAGGGCGTAGTACTACGTGAACACCGCCCAGAATTGCTGCCTGTGTTGCTGCGACTGTTGTATTCAAAGTGTGTTAGTAAGAAGGGTCGCAACAACGGTGACACTGTGGCCGCACGTCGTGCTGCTGTTCTAGCATATCTGGCTGCTTTAGAGGCGTCTGATCTCGCAAGCTTTGTGGAATTGGTGGTGAGAGCCTTTGGTGTGACAATCAAAAGGCTTGAGAGTGGAACTCCAGAAGCTTGTGTGAGTGTTGGTGCTGTGCAGCCTGCTGTTGCAGCCGCCAACGTGCAACCTTCGCGTATCTTGGGTTTTTTGAACTTACTAGAGGACCTCATCAAGCAGCTCGGTGTAAAGCTAGCTGTTTTTATGCCCCATATTGCTGATGTACTGCTGTCGATTCTTCAGATTAGCGTCGTATCAAGCAAAGATGGCGGTGACACATTTACTGACTGTGTGACGGGAGAAGAAAAAGTAGTATCTACGGTTGGCTCAAAGCGCAAACAGGGAGAGACGTCAGTCAATATGGATACAATGACCACATCGGCATCAATGAAGAAGCAAATTCGTATGCTTACTTATCACCGGCTGGCAGAGATGGTTGACACGTTTGATAGTCTGGTGCATCTCCAGCCATGGGTAGTCGCAGTGTTGGACGTGTCGCACGAGTCGATTACGCACCTGCCAAATGCAGTTATCGGTGCTGACAAGACATCAGCACTGCTAGAGTTACTTGTGTCGATCGGTCGCGCGGAGCGAGCACGTCAGTGGATTCCTGAACCCCTGATACTTAGCGTGATCTCGTGTTTGTCGGCAGGTTTGACACCAGCGAGTGCGTCGATACCTGCATCAACCCGTGGTATATCGCCTGATATCCTGGACTCAATACTTCACTATATGGGCTCATTGTTGGATGGAGACGAGCGTTTACTTGCTGAACAAGGCCACAATGAGGCGCCAGCTGACCCGACGCATGATGCGAAGGTTTTGTTGGTACCCCACATTCCGTTTGTGTTGGGACATTTTGTGCGCCGTTTCCAGGCAAAGTCTGCACGGCACGCAAGCGATCATTACGCAGGGTCATCGCGCAAGGAACTTGCGTTTCTGTGCCGTTTGTCCCACCATTTGGATGCTTCAAAGAGGGACTTTGCGAGTGCTGCACACGACTTGTTTCAACTATTGCTGCCTTTCTTATTGCGCAACCATCAGACATCACCGGAAGACAAAGCGAATTTGCTTGAGGTGTTGGCGCATTTGGTCCCTAAGCTTTCGGAGCCCAAAAAGCACGTACTCGCTCTTGCGCGGTTGTTGGCTCCCGGTCCGAACATTGTTGCTGATCGAGATCCACGACTGAAGCTTGTAGGTGTGTTTACCGCCCTCGGTGCACACCCTGCGCTCAAGGAGATGTCTCCTGTGGCGGAATCGCTGATTGAGTTGAATGCTTACGATACCAAGCGCATTGAAGAAACAGACTCTGAGCGTCGCCTGATTGCAATCAACCGTTTGAATTCGACGCGTTTTGTCGGGTTTTCCACCGAGACTCATTTGTTGGCTCCCTTGGTGGCGCAATGTCTCCAATGTATGCATGACGCTGATTATTCGGTACGTGGTGGAGCACTTGCGGCGCTTACGACTTTCCTGGGAGTAGCGGCTGAAGCTTCTGCGGGACTAAAAGAGCTTGCAGATGCTACAAAGTCTCCCGCGCTCAATGCGCTCGAGTCACTTGTGATGCCCTGCATTCGCTCGAGTCTGCGCTCGTCTGATGAGAACACGCGACGTGGCTTTGTAGCGTTGCTGGGATCAGTGGCAGACCAACACAAAGCATTCAAGCAATTTGCATTCGTCCCAGCAGATTTAGTCCTGCTGCGCAATCAGGAGGATCCTGAGGCTGATTTTTTCTACAATATCACGCATATCCAAGCTCATCGCAAACGCCGCGCGCTTCAACGCCTTCGTGCGCTTATGGATCTTATCGCCTCCAAGACAAACGATCAAGTGGATAGCTATGGATGTGAGGAATTGCCCCAACGGTTGTCGAACTCGACAGTGAATAGTATCGTTTTACCGCTTGTGCTGCACTTTGTCTACGAAGCTCACGCGAAGAGCCAAGAGTCTCTCCAGACTGAGGCAGCAGCGTCTGTGGGAAGTGCAGCTGGGCTTTTGGGCTGGTCACACTATCTTTCGTTGTTGCGCAGACTGCTGAAGTCAATTGATGGACACGTTGAAGTAGAAGGCGCTATCATCATGTCCATTTGTGCCGTGATTGATCACTATCACTTTGAAGCGCCCGGTGCTGCAGTTGAATGGTCAGCGACGCCAAATGGTTTAGAGCCAGCGGATGTGAAAGCGATTGATGGTGACAATGAAGATGTAGGTGTCGATGATGTTCCGAGTTCTTCTTCAAAAATTCAGGACAAGATGGTGACGCAGGTACTTCCGATGCTGTACATGTACTTATTTAAAAGTGCTGCGTCAAAGAAGAATGTCAAGACAAGGGACAACGACAGCGAGTCGTCACTACCCTCTAATGAAGCAGTATCGGTACGTGTACCGCTCGCTTTGGCGGTCGTAAAGGTGCTGCGTCGACTACACGTGGAAACGTTCCAGCGAGAGTTACCCAAGTTGTTAGTGAAGTTCGCAAATTTGCTGAAGAGCAAGGATGAGGCTGTGCGAGTTTCCGCTCGCACTACGCTCGTTCGAATCGCTGTCGAACTCGGTGCAAAATTCTTGCTTCCGATTGTGGAGGAACTTCGCCACACGCTGCGCGATGGATACATGGTTCACGTCCTGTCGTTTACCGTGCATGCGTTATTGGAGAAATTACCAGAAATTGTTCAGGTGAAGGGACAGTCTGGATTTCTTCGCAAACCACGGTCGTTGCTGCTTGCGGAAAAGCAGGATCAAGAATCCGACAGCGAGACTAAATCTGCCTCACCTTTGGATGCTTGCATACCGAGCATTATGGAGATTCTAGTTGCTGAGCTGTTTCAAGGCATGACGACCATCAGCGAAGCAGCGGAGGCAGCCGCTGGCGGTGTGGAAAGTAGGTCTGCACAGAAGTCTAAGATGAAAGAGGCACGCTCGAGCACTGGAAGGAGTCTAGACTCTCTGGAGCTGCTGGCAAGATCGTTACCCTTTTTACCTAATCCGGGTATTCACGACGTAGTGAGTGCGCTTGTGAAACGCTTTCAAGCCACAGATGCCGGTGCTCAAGCTACTGCCGCTCTTCAGGAGGCTCTAAAGCGCATTGCGATGGGGCTTTCACAGAATCCATCGGTGGAGTCGTCCTACATGTTTCTGTACACATACAATGTTCTCACGTCGAGTCTTGAGAGTCTGCGCCCTACTACCGAGCGAGAAAAAGCACAGTATGAACCGGATGGCAGCACGACTTCGCTCGCGACCTCGTGGCTCGTGTCCGAGAAGAGCGCGGCAGCTACAAAGTTTCTCGCAGCTCGAGTAAAGTCGCAGGATGTTTTTCGGGTTACAATGCAGCATCAAGTCACAGGGTTTGACAAGATGCGTCAGCAGCAACAAGGTAAAACAAAGAAGCAAAGACGTGAAGAGATTGCTGCTCTCTTAGCTGAAAGCACCGCACATGTCCGAGAGCTATTGAGCTTTGCTGTATTCATGATATTCTCCTTTCTCCGCAAGAACCGCAGCAGCGAGAACCACCATACGGAGGACGGTAAAGCGCAATGCGATGTCCCGTCCGAGCTTGTGAGTCCGCTGGTGCCGCTGCTGATGCGCTGCATTGGTGAATCGAAAAATGACCGTGCTATTATCAATGCGCTTAAGTGCCTCGGCTTACTGCTTCCTCGGCAAGAAAAGCTGCCAGCATTACAAGTGGCTCGTGCAGCACTTCTCGATCGGCTGTTCAAGATTTTGCAACAGGCGGGGGCTGCGACACACAATGAGATGGTTCAGACATGTTACCGCACGCTCACGGCACTCCTGAGACATCAGCAAAGGTTAGAGTTTGCACAAGAGAACGGGAGCGTGCCGAAGACCTTGAAAAACGAAAGCCTCCGGCTCACGGAATCGCAACTTCGTGTGCTCCTAAGTTTCTTGCGTGCAGACCTCGAGGAGCAAGACCACCAGAATGCCACGTTTGCTCTATTGAAGACCATCGTGAGTTCTCGTCTCATTGTGAGCGAAGTGTATGATGTGATGCTACGTGTCGGTGAGCTGCTGGTTCAAAGCGATAGTCCCGGTGCACGGCTGAATTGTGCGACCATCTATCAAAGCTTCCTGCTTGAGTACCCTCTCGGAAACAAGCGACTCTCCCGTCACCTCAAGTTCTTGGTTGACAACCTGAGCTACACGCATGCTACAGGACGCGCTGCTGTACTTGAAACGCTTCGGTCTCTTCTTTTGAAGCTCCCGCAGGATCTGGTGAATGCTCGCGCCCAATTTTTCTTCCTGCCGCTTGTACTGCGACTGGCCAACGATGAAGCTTCTGAATGTCGCGACGTCGCTCGAACCGTGCTGGGTGCTTTGGTGCGTCGAATGGGCAACAAGGAACTGAACGAAAGCATTTTGCTGGTCGGCACGTGGTGGGCGCAGACTTCGAATTCGGAGGCTGCAGATGCAATCAAGCTGTTAGGGACTGCGGCGCAGGTGACTACGCTCATGTTGAAGACTCGACCCGAGTTTTTCGAACGCAGTGCGCCTCAGGTGCTGCTTGCGGCGCGTACGGCGCTTGAGCGTCGTTTTCAGGAGCTTCAGACCGTTGAAGACAGCAATGAAGTGCGATGGCAGCCGACGTACCATGTTTGCGTGGCAGTCACTGCTTTCAGCGATCACCTTGCTGGTCCATACGAGCTGTGGTTGGAGGGAGAGAAGGCGACTATGAATTTTCTGGATGCTGTAGTGCTGCCGCTGCTGCAGTACCCTCATGCGTGGGTGCGTCTGGGTGCCACCCGGTTATTGACTTCATATCTGCGTCGTCGCCTTGCAAGTACGCTTGCATATGCAGCTCCTGTTAAGCGTTTGCCTATGGATGCTCTCGAGCGTCTGCGTAATGGTGCATCCTATCTGCAGCGTCCCGGGCGTCTATTTGCTTGGGCTAGTGCGTTTTGCAAGTTGCTGGAAGCCCCGGCACTGAGTGACGAGTTGGCAGGTGAAGTCCTCACAGCACTGCCGTTCTTGTGTGATGCGCTTGAAAGCACGGACATTCCACAGGATGTGACTGACGCGTTGGCTGACACAAGTGTGACCGATGAAGAAGATGTCGAGCCTAGTGTCGACACTGAAGCTGCTAATGAAAACGTAGTGGTCGATGATAAAGGTGCAGGCGAGACTGACAAGGGAGATGACGAAACGGAATTGCAGCGACGGGAAGAGCAAGAGAGGCACGATGAGCGACTCAAGTCTCGCGCGCCAATGGGCTGGCTGCTTACTCGACTCTCGTACATAGCTCGTGGCTCGAGCTGCAGCAACGAGGTTCAAGTTGTGGTGTATAAGCTCTTTGCTGCCCTCTTGCACAGTCACGACGCTGCGTTTGCTGAAAAGTACGTTATGCAGATGATCAACCCGCTGTTCCGTGCGACGAGGAGGCTGGACGAGCTCCAGATCCAACGAGAGCAAGAGACCCTTCATCTGCAGCAGCGATTTCGCCACAAAGCTCGGACAAGTGGTGCCTCGCTGGCCTCTGTGACTCCGCCGGCGAGTGCACTGCTGGCCCAAGAAGTGCTGCAGATTCTGGAGCAAAAGCTGGGCGCGACGTCGTATTTAGAGGCATACGCTTTCGTGCAGAGGAAAACGGCAGCAGTCCGCATTGCACGCAAGCAGCAGCGTCAAGCCGAAGCTGTCTCCGATCCTTGTCTGGCTGCTCAGCGGCGGATACAAAAGAATGCGCAGAAACGCCGGACAAAACAACTGCGCAAACGCAAGTATGCGGTGCTGAAAGGCTCGACCTCAGCAGCTGTGCGTCCGACAAAAGTGTTTCGTCCTGGTGCCGAGTAGTAGACTTTGGCATTTGCTGCTGGCAAAGAAGGGTCGAGACCATAGCTTTGATACCTTGTATGGATAAAACACACGTGAAATGTCTGACTGGTTTTGAATTACGTTTTGATTGCATTGACCGTTATTAGGGTGAGATTGGTGATGTCAGAGCATGTTAGCGAGTCAAATCGGACAAATGCAATCTACATAACTAATCAGGGAGTAGATAGACAAGTGATGCTCTCGCGGACCCCTCTCCGACGTATCGGAAGATATCTCCTGAATGACCTTTGGTTCACGTAGGTGTCCAACCTACGTGAACCAAAGGTCATTCAGGAGATATCTACCTTCTGGGTGAATCAAAGGTCATTCAGGAGATATCCCTCTTCTTCTTCGTTGTGCAGATGAAGGGGTGAGCTGATGAAACGACTTTGTCGTGCTTGCTTGTCTTGCCATCAACGTGGGCGACATGGAGTTCATGCTCTTGTTGTAACCAAGCTTTCCACATACGAGTGAACGAGAATAGCCAGCTTTCGCGTACTCTGACATGAGCTTCTTCATTCGAAGGTCTCATGTACTTCGCATGAGTCGTTGGATCGCACTCGACGTACAGATTTGAGCCCTTCTTGTTCAGGCAGCTCCAAAGGTTTACACGCCTGTCAATAGACACAATATAATGATCGATTCGTAGTCAAGTCAAGTCCGCGCGTACAGATAGACATGGACACGTGTGAACGTATGTATGTATCGATGCATCATCATCATGTACAGCTCGCCCACAGTCCACACACAAATCGTAGTAGAATAACACAATGGTAAGCACTACTCATGGTTGAACGAGTTCACGTTCAGGGACAACAGTGCGCTGGTAGTCCGATCAGTTAATTTGGCTTCATCATTGCCATCTTCTCATCTACGACTTTGAGCGCAGACAATGCAACAGCGACGGAAAATCGACACCTCCAGGTTCTAGCTAAAGAGGTGCACCAAGAGCTTGTCGACAAAGGCAAAACCGAGTACAAGCAGCGGTGGATCGAAGGGAATGTCGTGCCGATCAAGCTCAAAGCTGGTAAGGAATTGCAGCACTAGCTTCTTGACGAAGCATGTCTCGCGCAAGGCTTCACCCCCAGATAGGACGCAAGATTTTTGATAACGTGCGAAGCTGTGCTTGGTGGCTCTGGCACGATGAAGCAATGACTAGTGGAGTATCGAGCTGGAAATGAAGATGGCGATGCAGCAACGAGCATGTGGAATGGACAAGAAATAGAGTGAGCGGACCACTGAATGTGTCACTCGAGACAAGAAGAGGCGAGCTGTCGCCAGCCCGATTAGAAGAAAGGACCCAAGCCAAGAGGAAGATCAAAGCAGTGAGCATACCCAATGCTGATGGTCGGCATGTCGGGGTTGCATGCTCAAGAACAGCAGAGGTGTGAGGATTTGGCTGGCTCTGGAAAGAATGATGATGTGCACCATGGAGGTCGTGCACGAGGGAGTGGAGACCTGAGAGCTGGAAGACAGATGCATATACGGATTAGCAACAAGATGTCGATAGTCCACATACGCAGGCGTGTGTGTGTGCTGTTTGGTGTATTGAAGTCAACTACTTCCATTACTATGCTCTCGACTGCCCTATCCTCCAAAAAGTGCATCAACTATCCAGTCGTGCCTTGTCGTCATCGTCCATCGTTTCCATGCATTGCGTTATCCACTCAACACTTGTTTTGTCTCACTGAACGGCATGCGGTTCAAACCTGTGCGACAATCCGTTCTCAAGCGCAGGCAGAGCCTGCTCGAATACGACTAGGGCTCCGTCCCGCAACGTCCCATCTCATGGATCCTACATCCTTTCTCGCGCGGGACGGTAAGTGAGATAAGCCGTTACCATTCTGCGCATCCCGCATTCAATGATGAGCTAACTGTACAATGTCGAGATGCTACTAATTTTATACTTAATTATCTCTTGGGAATCGAAAAAGCGTCATCCGTTTTATTTGCATACGCAGATCAGTATGTATTGACATTATTCGACCTTTTTTCTGCCAAGACATGCATCGAGGCAGTATAGATGCTTGTAAAGATGATTTGGTTGCTCCCAACGACGATCCGATGGACATCGCTGGCATACTAGGGGCAAGCGACTTCAAACTTTAGTAAAGATAAGTTTCTTTTGGTAGTCACTCAATTGCTCAAAAGCCTCGTCAAATGGCAATACTGTTCCACCAAACGTCGAGATCGCTTTCAAGCAATCGCATGCTTAAAGTTTTCATCATACCTTATGATGTCGCTACTCGCTGAAACGTTACTCAAATCAAGTTGATGCGTGTGACCAATTAACGCAATTCCATTCTACCTCCACGTTTAAGAAGAGCCCTGCATACAAGGGTACGTCGTCAGCAGCACCAATCAGGTTCTAGTGTCACAGACATTCAGCTTCTACACTTGTTGTAGCAGGTAAGCACTGATAACATAGCGGAGCATTTTACTGTTCCACTTTTTTTCTCATTCTTTGGTACCTCAAGCGCATTTGGAGGCGCTCGTGTGTATGCAGATCCGGTCGTTTCGAAATAGATGTAGGGTAGTATGTTCAATGATTTCGTCCCGCACTATCCCGCCCCATCCTGCTCAAGACGGAGCCCTGTATACGACCGCACGATTACTTGTACCATTGTGAGGATACTCTCGGCAAACGTTGCAATCTTCGAGAGCACGTTTATAGCTCATGTAGAGCGATTAATTTATTGATTCAATAACATATAGAGCATACATGGTGGTCATCAGGCATGAATACGTCGTTACTATCGGCATGATATGGATCGTCCCTGTCGTCTCTTTGACACTGGCTTGCCATAGCCCGCCGGTTAGAGGCTGCAAAGTCTAGGCGATGCATCCAGAATCACACGTTCTTCGATGCATACCAATGCTGCCGTGCACTGCACTGCATTGAACGTTACGTCGTGATAAGGCTATTGACTCGCAAGGAATCGATGTAGCTTTGGTCCTGCTGATATCCTTCTTTCTAGAACTGTCGCTTTGCAGCCGAGCCTTGGTCAATGGCTGGGACTAAGGCTCACACATCTATCTTCACTTCCCGTTTGTCCTCTTCCTGCTCCACACACCCTTCAACTTCCCTACTATAGATAGGACAACCACGTAGCTTCAATTCCTCTTCCTTGTCTCATTAGCTCTACCCCCACGCAGCACTGCAGCCGAAACTAGTACTGAGTCGGACTAGAGTGGGCGACCGTCGAGCACGTCAGGGTTCCCACTTGTCTTCATGTGACAACCTGGCTGCGAAAAGCGTTTCCAAGTGACAGACGCTCCAAGACGGCAACCACAAAGAAGCTGAGCCGGCTGCATCCTTCACTGAAGCCGAGAAACGAGGGAAAAGCGTTCTACCCTCCACTCTCACTTCTCTGGCGCCATTTTCAGGCGGTGATAGCGTCTCAACTACAGCAGTCAGACGTATTGCAGCCATGCAACCCATGAAAAACAAACCCCTTGCAATGTCGTCACGCGCTAAGATTGCCAAATTGAACAAGCAAAGGCCCAAAGGTATAAAGGGCTCGATTCAAGCCATTAGAGACGCACTCGCCAACGAGAAAGCTAAGCAGGCCAAAGCCGATAAAGAAAAACTTGATGACTACAACCCTAGTGAATCCGACGCTTCGGTCTGGAGCAAGAACGTATGTGTGATTAGCTACAATCACTGGGCCGGTCTCAGGACGAGACCTTCCCTTGAGGATCGCCAACCAAATCCTGGTGTTCCCTTCAACAATGCTAAGAAACAGCGCCAGGACAGATTGGCCAACATCTGTACGAAACGACAACGATCGATCTAGCCGAAGGAGGAAGCTGCTCAGGGAAGTAAAAATGTTCTGAAGGAGTTGAAACACCGCTCGGGCTGAACGCTCGTGTAGCACACTTCGGCTACTTCGCTATTGCCTGCGGCGCCTCGAGGTTCGATATGACACTATTGACTAGATAAGACTGTAACACACCTCGTCTTCATGTTGCGTGTTCACAGCTGCAGTAGGTATCAAGTGAGTGCGTCCAATTTTGGTACTATGCGTACATCATGTCCATGCGAGTGTCGTAGTGTCATTCCACTGCGCTACATAGAAGTGCCTTTCGTCGTGATACTGATTAGTACCAGAGCGGACACCACTCGTACAACGCACGCACTTGCTGCTAGCCCAGCGGTGTCAATTGTAGTGCTTAGGTTCATCGCTCGCGCCAAGAAGCGGCATTGGAAAAGTGGCTTAAGCTGTAGCTTTGGACTCTGATCGGGAGCCGTCCTAGGACGGCTCTTGAATGTGCAACAGCCTTTGCTGGGGTCGATTTGTTTGGTGTGTTCATCTATCGTGTTGTTAAGCTGTCGCTCAACCATCTTGTAGGCCGCTATCGCCGTTTCAATCGTTTTTATCGAACAAGCGCAACAAGGAAGAAGCGGCCCTTGTTTGGCGAATGACAACCGAGTCGATGCATGAACTGTACACGAATGCGAGGTTGATGGTAATTCGAAAAAGTTTTGAGTCCATGATTGGGTCGATCACGTACTTGCGTCGCGTTAATTCTCGAAGCAATGCAGCGATCATGCTAAACTTGTAGCTGCTCTTCGTATGACGAGATGACAGTTAACCCAGGCATATTTATGACACTACAAAGCTCGGAAGCGTTGTGACTGATAGTAGATCAAGCCAATATCACGTCGTTATGCAAATCGATGTCAATCGCTCAACACTAGTGAACTAGTTTTGAGGAGGAGAACAATTTGTGACAAGTACGTTCCTCGCTTGAAGCAATTTGAAGCTATTGCGATTGAAAAATGACGCGTACTTTGATGTACTTCACGGGAACTAATAGTTCAGTTCTGCGTTTGCAACAGCACAAAATCGTCATACATTGCACATCCGATCAAATTCCGGTACTTGCTTGTGCGATGTTGTCCTTGCCTGGCAGCATGACAGCTAATGCATGGGCATATTCTTCAGGCATCTACATTAAAGGCCTAACGTCTCCCAAAGACGTCCAGAACTACCCGTGCGCTCGCACAATTTGCTGCCTTAAAAACGTCGTCGACGCCTTCAACTCGTGCGATCCAGCGCAGCTTCATCTTGAAGGCGCTGCCAAGACTATTGTAGACCTGCACATTGTATCAGACCGATCGACTTCCACGCATAAATCCAGTGGGAAACAGTGTGTGCAAGTAACACTAGCTTAGTTTCTCAGCAAGTTTGCGCTATAAATGCCGTGTCTGTTTCGTTCAGCAGGATACTGTGAGCTTTGAATTGCCGGATCGTTTCTCAGGTTTTTGGCATATGTTGATTCAGCATGGCCACGGTCGCACTAATGGACCATCGCTGAATACGTATTGAGTTCGTCCTGCAGGATGGTGCTAAGCAGCAAAGCAGGTATGTATGATGTGTATCTTCAGTTTCGATAGCCAGGGTTGACCGCTTCTACTACTCATAAAATAAAGCCACGTAGGCTTCCGCAAAAGCTCGTTGCCCGTGTTTTTCCTACGCGTCTTTGTATTCGTTTATCTCCAGAATTTATCAACTCGTATGCATGGGAACCTCCAGTCTAGAGCAGCACAACCTCAGCATCGCGTAAATTCTGCACCGGACCGTATGCAACGGACCTCCTCGCTTGCACGCTCCGACGACGACACAGAAATGTCCTGGCGATTCCACAAAGGATAGAAGCTCATTTTGTGACGGTTTACAAGATCTCACGCTTGTATTTAGTTGCGATGAAACAAGAGGACAGTATCCGCAAGGAGCTGAAACAGACTCTCGCAATCTCGTACTCTACTACGTCGCAAGCCGCTGCACGATTTCATCCATTACTACCGTCTCATTGCTGCTATCGATACACTGTACACGTAAACAATTCGGTGTTGGCGTTTGCCCCCTTCGCTTCAACGTAGATCCAGATGCAAGAGCTCGTTAAGACCTGTTTCGCTAGACGGCACTTCCATCGACACTGATCAGCATCTTCTTCACTAATCGCTCGAACATGCGTGATTAGCACATGTTCTTACCGACTGCTACGCCACCGAAAAACAGCCACTTCTGACGTGTGTCACGTCGACCGTCGAGACGTATACTGAGCGTATACAACAACAATGAGACCTTCGCCCGAGGTCAGTCTCGTCTGTTTGTTTCAGCTCGTAGCGGCGAATGCAGCGCATCCAGGTATTTTAAACCAGCCAGTCGATTGATTAGTCCGTCACCTATCTGGAAAGCTCACAAGGCTCCGTATCCATCCTGAGCAGAAGTGTTTTGTCAGGAACTCGATCGAGTTCCCCATGTACTGCCACCAGTTGTTGCCGTCTGCACCATCCCATTTCTATCGACCACTGCAATCGGTTCTCCGTTTATCGCGTGATTCAGCTGTCGTACGCACTTTTGTACTCTACGGGTAAACAAGACACGAACCGAGGAGCTACGGCTAGCATATCAACGCGGTTTCGTGTTGTACACTACTATGGTCGGTGTCGGAAGTGTTGTTGACGACATCGCACGAATATATGCCAGCAGTCGGTAATTTCTCGGTGATGATACTGCATGGATACGAACAAGTATTGCGGATAGTTTTGACTCATTGTCGAGCACCTTGACTGCAGGTGTGTGCGCTGTTTAGCTCAACGATCTCTCCCGCTGCGCCTAAAATTGGACTTTTGAAGTCAGCTGATGCAAGCGCCACGTGATACAATGGCAAGCGCGCTCGTTGCCCGTTGTGGGATTCACGTCGGGTGCTTGTCGATAGTGACGATGTGTGTGCTATACGCTATTACAATGAGCTGTGAAGAGCGAGTACCAGGTCCCTGCTCTATGGGGTAAAACTAGATGTATGATTTATGAGGCAAACGGTGTCACTTCCAGCTCGGATCTCACTTTGCTGCTCTCGACTAGCATCATGTGCTCCACTTTTCAGACTGAGCAATTCCTTCGTTCATACAGCAGCAGCTAATATGCAAATTGCCGACTCCTCTACAGTCTCTCGCCTCTAATTTGCAGATCAATTCCCTGTTTGTTGACTTCGTCCGTTGCTGAGTGTTACCGACGAAAAGCGATGGTCTCACTCGAAAAACAGAGGCCAGAGATACAACCAATTTAAGGCAAGAGAACTCATGCATGACACCATGCCCACCTGGGACACTAGCCTCGAACATCTGGCCTAACTATGGACGGCATCCAGACGCTCATCTTGGATCAATCTTCAGAGTCTTCCATTGGATAGAGCTTTCCTAAATTTGTCAGGAGGATCATCTGTCTCTACTCTTCCTCGAGTCAGAACTGTTGCCTTAATCCGTATTGTAAGACCTCCTGGTGACGACTTCATCGGCGCTCTTTGCGCTCTGTGAGTAAACGGATCCTATAACTCGAGTACCAGCTAATGTCACGTCACTCGATTCATGGTACCTCCGGGTTTAGCTGGTCGGCTTAGTCACATCGGGCTCAATGCATGTTGCTTACTTTTCAGAACAGCACCAATGCAGATCGTAATTGCATTGACGATATGAGGATGTAGCCGGTATCTAGGTGGTGTAGACACAGTCGATTCAAATGCTCCCCTAAAGTTGGGCAGTACGTTTGAGCCATACTTGCCCTTCCACAACCACATGAAAAGATCTGCCAAGTAGACCAAGTTCTATACCAGTCTCGCCCACTAAAGCAGAACGGAATGACAAACCGACACGTGGACAACTCCTCAACATTCAAGAGCAGTGGAAGCGGGTCGTGCCTTGATGTTTGCTGCACAAATGAAGAGCTCACCTTCTCATTTTCGCTGAAGGTACTTTTTCATGGTACGACATACAGGTCTTGATTCGAGTCACCGCATCGAGCTTGTTCACAGAAATCCCACTTGTCGGACAGCTTTATTTCGTTCTGGTCATCGAGATCATTCCTAAAGAGCGTTAAACCGGCTATTGACAGCTATAGAAGAGTTGCACACCCTTGTGCAGTAGGAGTCTGCCTCACATTGTTGGTCGCTGTTGATTCAGCGTTCGGTCCTGTTTCGAGTGAAAAATAGGTTTCCACAACTAATGCATATACTCGTTCCTAACTGTAAACTGTCGTTCTGCCTCGGCCGCATCCGGAGATGTGAAAAGTAATCGAACTAGCAGCGTAACAATGACCGGCAGGCTCTAGTGGGTTCTGCACATATACAAAGGGAGGTTGGCATGTTCGTACGTTGTCAACCTCGAACCTGACAAGCTGCACTGGACAAACCTGATTGCCTTGCATCGATCTTAACAGATCAAGTAGTCCTCGCCTGATTACCGCCACCTTTTGTTTGAAACCATTCTGCTTCTTTTGTGCTTATCAACAAAGGTGATCCCGATCAAGAAAAACCTTCACGGCTCGTGTCCGAAGTCGTGAGCGCTTACGACCACGCTCACACAGCTCGCATCGAGTACTTCTATCGTGAACGCTTGTCAATAGCTTTTCGATTAAGACGTGACCGTCTCGATTATTATGAAGTATTCATGTTCACCGGCTACTGAAGTTGTGGTTGCGCAACTCCAGGGATATCCTGTGTGGTCGACGATCTCATTGATCTAGAATCGTACAGCACGTATCTTCTTACGTGCATTTAACTGTCGGTGAGCATTCATACTCTTTCCCGTGTAGCATATTACTTCCTGCAAATAGAACTTCGGTGTACGACAAAGGTGCCCACACAACTGGCATTCTTGTTGCGCCGCATTCGAACCAGAAGAAGGCCTATTGGCGCAGTCAAACACCTATTCGTTCAATATCGTCATGCACTTTGCTGCTCCAGCTTCAACGGTAGTCAGGCTTCATCCATTGTCAGCATTGAGCTGTCTTCTGAGAAGTCCAGGCTCGACCTCGCACTGCATGCGATACTGTTGTAAGATCGGTCCAGGCGCCGAAACACATTCGCGCCGGCATTGGCTTTTGCTGCTCGACGGGCAGTAAGAGGGGTGAGACCACTCGTTTTAGGGCCGCCTCTCGGTGGTGGCTCAGCGAACTCAGGGAGCGAGCCAAGCCCGGCACCTAGCGATTCTTCGAACGCAACAGTTATCATGGATCCCGCGAGAGCATCTTCGGGGGCGTAGGCGAGGGCCTAATTAGTCGGAAAAAAACAGCTTAAGACACCGAAAACAACAACAAAGGAAAGTTGCTTGGCCCCACCCGATGATAAAACTCGATGGCTTGGTGCAGGTTTCCCTTCATATGGTAGGTAAAACCAAGCGCAGCAAGTGTTGACGCCTATTGCACAGTAAAGTACGATACGGGTCAGCAAACCGTCCGACATTTGATACTCGTCCTAGTCTCGATACAACGTACATTGCGAGGTGATAGTCGGAGTGCACCTTGGAAATAGTGAATAGCCTGGTCAAACTTTCTAGTGACATGGACAAACAGGACAGTGCAGTGCAGTCAGAACTTCAGCTCTAGCTTCAGCCTCAATCCAAAGCGTACCGAAGTTTGCGGTATGAGTATCCAAGATTATACAGCGTCGGTTCCCACGCTTCCATGAGTCGCTTCAGCCAACAAGTAGTCAACATATAAGACTCTAAGTTTGACGCTCACACAAAAATAAACTCAGTTCTACTTACCTCAGGAAGACCCTTGCATAGCTTCAAAGCTTTCGTGAACATCTCGATCGCTTTAAAGTACTCTTTTTGCTTGTAATAGACACTGCCAAGTTCATTGTAAACGAGCGGGTCCGACGGGCAGAGAACACCTGCTTGGCGAATAAATTCTTGGGCTTGGACCAAGTTATTCGTACGAAGAAACTCCATTCCGATATACAAGGTGGGCAGGTGCGATCCCGGAAAGAGACTCGACGCCGTTCGGTACGACGACATTGCCTGGTCACTTTCATCCTGGGCTGCAAACGAGTTTCCAAAAGCGATCCACGCAGGTGCGAAGCTTGGCTCAAGAGATGTCGCCTTGCTGCAAAACACATGGCAAAGTTTACGACGTTTACTCCAATCATATCCAGCGCTTTTTACGTACTGAAAATAGCGCTGTGCAGCCTCAAATTTCTGAATCAGTAGGTAGTAGCAGCCCACCGTGTACCAAGCCGATGCTTTCGTGGGGTAGACATTAACCTAGAGTTCAACGAGGATGCATACTTAGCATTGCACGATGCTTACGAGACGAACATACTACGCAATGAGACAAAAGCTTTTACGAACCATTTGGTGTGCGTACTGGAAAAGCTCGCGCTTCTTGCCAAGTTCCACAAGCGTACACACGTACACGGGAATCACGCGGAAATTAAACGGATCTCGGTCACGCATACTAATACATGATGCACCAACCATAAGTCTTCTTCCACCCTGCCAACCGAATAGCAACAATCCAACAGCAAAGAGACGGATGTACCTTTCACATACGTCATACGCCTGCTGAACGTCATGCTGATAATAACACATCTCCGCTCTTGTGACATTCTGCATTCACATCGATGAAGACGTATCGGTTCAGATATGACACGCACACTAGCCACAAATTATTGCTACGTACGAGGTCGAGATTTTTCGCGAAACCAAACTGCTGTTCCACCTCGGTAAATTTGGCGTCAATCGACGGTATCGGATCGTACTGCCGAGCCGCATGGAAAAACCGCGTAAGTAATCCAGGACGGCATTATCAAAGCGCACGCACACAAACTACCTTTCCAACGTGCGTCCAGTACAAACGCTCCAGCAACTTCGTTTCATCAAGCGAAAAGTCCAGCGATGCGACAAACTCCTTTTCTTCTTGTGGCGACAGCATGTGTTTGTCAAATAAATGAAAAAATGCCTCCGAACAGTGCACGTCGCAGCGCAGCGCAGTACGAAAGTACATCGTTGCGTTCTCGCGGTTGCCAATGGCCTCAAACGTCTCGCCCATCAAAAGAGCCAACGACGACACCACGTTGATCCCATGTGCCTCGTCCACCGCAGTGTCCAGCCGCATATTCTCGGCCAACCGCACAACGTCCTGCTCCCGTTCAGGCAGCACCGCTTTCAAAACCTGCAAGCACTCGTTCTTCTGGTGTACCGCCAGCTACGACCCCACATCCAAAACGAAAACAATCAGCTTCAAGCCCAGTGCATTCTAACCCCAACACCAACTGCCTCAACAGCAAGGCAACATAGCCCTACCATGCACTTTCCAAGCAGCCAAGCTGCGCGCAACGTCACATGACGAGACCACTTCCTTCTAGTCTGCTTGCCGCCGTCCACGTCCAGCAATCCTGCTCCCTTTATCGCATGAATCGCGCGATGAAACTCTTGATTCAAGTAACACGCGTCTGCAAACAGCAGCACGTCGTGCTCGTCACTACCACCAGCAGCTCTGCCCCCTCCTCCAGCATCATCAGCATCATCTCCTATAGCCACGAGTTTGTCGGCATAAAAGAGCGCAGCCGCCACGTGGTGCTGCTCGATGCACTTGCGGACTCGACGTCTCAGCGTCTCCCTCATCTCGGCCCGTCTCTTGCTCGTGGGACCGTCCCGCACGTGGTGCACGTGGCCACGACCTTCGCGCCTCCCTCCGCCGCTTGAGAACGAGAGCGACGTCGTCTCTCCGTCCCTCCTCTGCTCCAGAAGTCCGTCTTCCAGCATCCCCAGTCTCCCATCGTCCTGCTCAGCACACTCGTTGGGGTCGTCCTCGTGTTCATTGGTCAATAATACCCTCGGATCCCAACCTCGAGCGCGATTTTGAGCCAATCGCCGGCGTCGTTTCGGACCCCGCGCGCTCGTCGCTGACGCGGCGACGCTGGAAGCCGTCGAGTCGAACGCGAGGGTTCGCGTCGTGCGCTCTGGGGTCAGCGGGGGCGACTCCGAGCGCGCGGGCGCAGAGCGTCGGCCCGGGGACACAGCCATTGCAGCCGGTGAACGGGCCAGTGGGATATCGGTGGCCGTCGCTGCTAAAACCGCTGGGAACACGTGGCTTCGAGGTGATGAAAGGATGTGAGATGAGCGGAGAATTCCAGCAGGAAGGTCGTACGAGGGAGCGAAAGACACACACTCAGAACAGTAAGAACAACAGCACATCGTTCTCTTGAGGTGGATGGCGCCTCCTGTTTTTGTGTACCAGCGACTGTCTGTGTCTGGCTTGGGTGGTAACTAGCTGCAGATAAGTAGTAGCATGCTAGGGATGCACAGAGATCGTAGTGGAGCTTCATTAGTGGGGAGATTGACTGCTACGCACGAGCGTGTTGGAGGCAATTCGTACGGTACTTGGCTGGCGAGAACACGCAGATGCCTGGTGGTGTCATCATGCTTGAGTCACTGCGCTAGCTGCCAAGCGATTCCCGTGCCCCAACGGCTTTTGATGGGCTTGCAGATCGGTTTCAAGATGACACCAACGCCGCGGGGACTGAGCTCCCAGCGCATCTGTGAATCGAGCATGTGTGATGATTACAGAGGAGAATCGACTTCTCTATTGCTGAGCGGTTCTTTAGGTACTTGACATCGAGCTACGTCAACTCGAGGCGATTGCAATAAGCGAACATCAAGCTGCAGCGACTGCAAAGTACGCGGGACCTGGCTTCACCTCGCAGGAGACCAAAACCCAGGAGACAAGTGGCTTCAGAAGGACAGCCCACAGCAAGTTTCATCAATCGGCCCTCATATCCTGGTTCAGGAATAGGCCGACGTTGTGATCCGACAATAGCGTAAGTGTGATTAACGTGTAAGTATGTAAGTGTGATTAAAGTCACCCGCCGCAACATGCTGCTCAATAGGTAAATTTGCTACTATTTCGTACTTGTGGCGAATGGAGTGACTGGCTGCAGATTCATCAGATACGGTTAAGCATCTCCCCATCATTATGTGCATCACCCTACAAAGCGAAGGAGTTCCTACTCTTCGCGGTCTGCGTACAACTCGCCGACAAGTTCGCTGAGCATGAGCTCGGTCCCACGAAGAGAACTTTCCGAGACCGTGACGACCCCCGTTGAGATCCAGTACTGGTTGTTCATGTGCAGTAGCACCGAGTGCACACAAGACTCTGACCCCGGACTTGGTCAATGGACGGTTTCCACGGGCCTTTTGGGAGTGCCCCGCCGTGACGCCCGCCGTCTTGAGCCAGCAGAACGAGAAAGCTAGGAGTAGTAAGACTGTGTCATGGCAGACGACACGAGGTGGTTATCACACAACCAGACATCTCATGAGTGGTAGGTGGCTAGAATACTCACGTAACGGAGCTGCGGTCCTACTCTTACAGATGTCAATGCTTCTGGACTTCTCCTTCTTTTGCGACATCATCTGCACTTCTCTCCTATGGTCTCACAATACTCTACTGTGTGTCTCACACATTCACGATACAAGGTCATGGGTGCATCTACGTCTGACACTGCGCCATGAGTATTTCTACGTCCGACACTGCGCCAAGGTCCTTTGCATTCGCGACGTAGCTTACGTCCTATGACAATTTCAAATTGGCGACCGAAGCTGCGGCTTGAGCCACTTCTTCGGTGCCGCTTCTTGGCGCGAGCGATGAAACTCAGGGCTAGACACCGCTGAGCTAGCAGCAAGTGCGTGCGTTCTGCAAGTAATGTCCGTGCAGGTGCCAATTGGCGTCACGACGAAGGGCACCGCTTCTCTTTTGCGCAGTGGAATGACGATGACACTAGCATAACAAGACGCGCCGCATAGAACGAAACTCGAACGCACTCACTTGATGCCAACAAGAGCTGTAAACATGGAGCAGTAAAAACGAGGTGTTTTACCGTTTTACCGAGTAGATACTATCAAATCAAACCTCGAGGCGCCACAGGGGGAAATAGCCAATAGCAAAGCAGCCAAATGGTGTCAACGATATCGATCCTATCTACTTTTCAGCTTCTTTTGGAATCACCAGGGATGTCTCACCCCCCTCGGTTCCCTCCTTCTTGACAGGGGCTCTTTTTTTCGCACTGCGGATGGTCGCTGCCATCCTAGGCCGTCTCTCGATTTTAGAGGCTTGATCACGTGCGATACCGTTGAGCCCATCCAACTCATACTTGTCAACCTTGTCCCGCTCTTGAACGTCATATCGATTGATGATGAGTCGATAACCACGTTTGTTGGTCTTGGCTTTAGTAGCGACCGCAGGTTTAGAGATTTCGTGTTTCGCGGCCTTCCCTTCCGAGACCGACGCCTTCAGGAATGATAATTTTTTCTTTCCGGTGCCTTTCGTAGCTCGTGGTTTCGCAATCTTAGCAGCTAGAGCGACTGGGAGAGCTTTAACAGGTCCAGCGGCTGGTAGACGCCCTGCTACCTTAGTTGCGAGACTGCTCTCGGCCTGAGCGACTCTGGCAACTTCGAGAGCACCCTTTTCGACCGTGGCTGCTACAATGCCACTGAGGGCATTAGAAAACTGTTCAAGCATCCGCTCTTCGCCGTCGGCGACCGATGCGGCTGCTTTTTCGTCTTCTCGATCGCTGTTAAAGCGGCTGTCCTTCGCCACCATATTGTGGAACGTGAAGGCCGGAATGAGAGAGTGGTTAGTGGTCGTGCTCAATGGTCTCTCAACTTGATCGGTCTCCGCAATAGCCACGACGACATGGGTGCATGCAGGAAAAGCAAACGAGACAGCGACAAGGAGTAACAATTGCATGGTTGTACTACCACGATGGAAACTCGAGCTTCTGGCACCAAAAGGCAAAATGATGAGTGAAACGAGCAGGTAATGAGGCGACTGTCCCAGCCACCCAACAAGATGTAGCATGTGCATCGACAGTTCTAGACAGTAAGGTACACCCGGGGTCAAATTCACTCGAAGATTTGCGGTCCTGTAGCATTTCGAATGAAGCAGCTGCAGCAATCTGGAAGGCGACTTCAAAGGGGGACTTCGGATGCACCAATGTTACGTGGGACATGCCCCACCGCATCTGATGAATCTACGCCCAGAATCTAGGCTAGAATCGAGTACGAGATTGAAGTAACCTCACCTTTTTAGCAGCGTTTCCCGCAAAACGCTGCAAAGTGGCGCCTAAAAGTACCACTTTTGCCTATCTACGCACGATTCATTCCGGCTATATTTATCTTGAACATTCTATGCCAGCGATCGATTAGAGCAAGGCCATGCCAATCCTTGAAGATTCATCGACAACGAGCATGCACCAGAAATGAGCGCTTATGCTAAGATATCTTTGCATGACTGCCACGGGGCCATCCCCTATGTATTACAAAAGTATGATCTACGCTGTAGGGGTGGCACGTCATCCATGAGGAGAGGAAGGAATCAAAGATTGAATATGTTAGAGCTATTTACGGTAACGAAAAAATGTGCAAGGGCACGCAACATGAAGGCTTAAAAAGATTTACGAAAGCGAGATGGAAAGTGGTTTGTCGGCATGACTGATTACAATGAGCACATTCTAATGAACGAACGGAATACTTAGCTTTGAACTCAGGGGCAGGCCAACATATTGCTTCGATTCTTGAACCTCATTCCTCATATTGAAGTCGTCAACGAACACGTTCGTTGCTAACTCAACCGCGACGAGGCGATGTTTCAATACCACATTCTCCATGGAATTTTACCCTGGTGCGCTATGGTCGTATTGAAGGATAGAATGGTTGACGCGCGGGCTAGCGTTTTCTCTTCCACTTACGGCGGACAGTGCTACGGCTCCATAGAAGCGGCCTTCGCTTAACGACTACTGGCATCAAATATTTAAGATAAATATGGCCAGTTTGTATCGTGCGTAGATAGGCAGAAGTAGTGTTCTTTAGGCAGAAAGTGGTATTTTTTAAGTCTCCTGCGTTTTGCGCATCTCTTGACGACGTATCGTCCCTCGTTCTCGCCGCTGATTTATGCAAGGTAGCCTCCTCGTGCTCATCTGTCATCCCTCTTCATTGTGTCCGGATATTGAGTGGTCTTCCACTAAGATCGAGTCGATACAAGCCGTTAGGGGTGACCGTGACAAGTCCGATGCCACATTGTTTATTCACCATCGAGTAAGGACTAATTTAGTGGTTGTAATTGTTGATTTAACTCAAAAATAGATGTGAAGATACTAGTTGAATAGCTGGACGTCTCAGGCAACTCTGTCCGAATGCAACGGGTCCTATACAGAAGAGGTAAAGCAGAAATGTATTGGCGAATGGATAGTGCTGAAGGCGAAGGTTTAGGTGTACATGCAGAGAAAAGTGTAGGTGTTATTCTGAAGGAATTGAGATGGAGAATCGGGTATCGGAAGGCGACGCAGATGATGTTGCAGACTACAACAAACAGTCGACAATGCAGCGACAGTCGGACGGTCGTAGGTATAGCTAGGCAGTCTCCAGTTGTATCTCTGAGTTCGCACCAAATCCTACTGAGCGTTGTAGCCATCAATAACGAACGTCTTTAACGCTCGAAGCAGGGCAATAGTCGTTGCACGAACAAGAACATTCGAATGGATTTACAATAAAAGAAATAAAAGACAAAAGCGTGAAAGGGAGCTGAGTCCAGTCAGCGTAAGAGAAAAGGAGTGGTGGAAAGCGCTTTACACCCATGCGTATGCGCTAGGCAGACAACCCCACGCTACATCCTGTACGCTGCTCATTGAGACCCCAACGACGACTGCGCGTTTTTCTTTTACGTCTGAAATGAAACGCGCAGTCGTCTCAAAGAATCTCAACGGGCAGCTACAATCAAGTAAGTCGATGGTAGCTACAGGGTCATCGTTACATTGAAGGGTTAGCGACAACTACTAAAATGGAGACACACTGATGGCGACATGTTTGCTGGTGTACTTGTTCTTCAATTCTGCTTATCGCTCACTTTGTTGAAATAATCATACATACGGTCTCCAAGGTGTTTTGTTTCGTGGGCGACACTGCCGATAACCACTCTGCACCCTTAGTCGATTCGAGTAACGCTTGCTCCATCCGAATCACCGACGGCTGCTGGCACACACCCCAATTCTGTACTGTGGTCATCATGATTTCGTATCGTGCTACTCGCCTATTCGTTGCCTGAGTCATGTAATACTCATGAAATGATGCCTTCGCGTTGAATTCGTTGCTGATGAAGTCGGTGCTGCAAAGCTGATATGATGCAAAAACGAAGGTATACGTGGTCGTCTCTCGTTCGGTCGCGCACCCAGCGATCGAGTATCGATTTGTGCGAATTCGGGACATCGTTTGATAACGTCTTGTGTATCGCTTCAAGTGTAGGAAACGTCTCCAAGCTCATCCAAAGAAGGATGCTTCCCTTGACCGCGTTTATCACGCATAACCCCTACACTCTAGTAGATGAATAATCGAGTGTAATCCTTTACAACCACGTTGTATACGTGTATGCAGCCTGAACGTGTAAATAGATCGTTGTATATAATGTTATTGAGACTTTCCGTTCCAACTAGCAGGCACCAGGAAGGGTTTTAAGCGTGACTACACAACCTCAATAAAAGGTTTCTAGATAAACAACATTGTGGTAGGCCACGGTCATCATACGCGCAAAATCGTGCTGAATAGGCGAAACTACTGCTATTTCATACTCGATACTACACTAGCTTATAGGTGCAGATTCAAAAGATGCTGTTGTGCACCTCCCCTAATCAAGGACCTGATAAACAACACTCGGGTGTCAACACAATCATGTTCTGCCGCTCAGATCAACCTGCCAACATCGATGCAGTGCGTGCTTAAGCTTTGGCTTTTTGTGACAAATCGGTGTCAAACACAACTCCTGTCCACTGTCGAACGTAGAGCAGTAAAGAACAGACAACAGGAAGCTGTTGATGCGTGACTACACAATCTAGATAAAAAGTTACCAGAACAAACAACAACATCGTGCCTGGATTATCCGTCGGTGCTCTGGAGCCCTTCTGTGTCACCCACATGACGACAGCGAGCACAATGCGGTTGTACGTACACTTACGATGGCTTGGTATGCCTCGGACGTGTCGGTGGTTAAATATTCAGGAGCGTGTCGATATCCATTACATGGGAAAGCCACTTCTCTAGCAATCAAATGCACATTTGGTCGAACAGCTGATAACGTTTACCTGGCCCGTTCTCATCCGCGGCCCGAGACCTGAGGTGTAAAAGATTGAAGCACAGATTCGAGGAACATGTGTCGGAAAGACTGCGCCATGTAGAGAGACACAAAACCCGCATGTGCAGTCTACGATGGATTCGTTTCATTCGGCCTATATGAGCAAAAGATGACCCCATGCAATCGTTGCGTACCTCGCTTCTGTTCTTTGACTCATTGGGTTAAATGCCGTGATCGTTCGACTGCATGCATGCACGACCGTCTTTTCTGGAGTCGATTTGTTTGTGACACCACATACCGTCTACACACTTGCATTCTACCGTCTTCTAGCTTGCCATCGCCAAAGGGCAAGGCTAATTCGTGCTTTAAATTTTGTTATTTTGTACTTCACACACCGTCGAACGTTGCTACGGACAGGTAATTAGCTTATAAGTTAACTTTTATCCGTATTATGCTATATATAGAAGTTTAGAGGTGCGGAGTTTGGACAGCTTCTTCTAAAAGGATCTAGTGCAGAGCCTTAGCTGAAGGCTGTGACGCCAACTGCAAAGGGTGCCATGGAAAATGGGAGAAAACATGTTGGACGTCCGTCATCATGTGCGCCTGTTTGGATAGAACCATTAGCTAATACCTCGACCACAAGTAGTTGTTGGAAAATGTCAGGATGGGAACCGGCGTTGTCGCCATCGGCGTCGTCGAGCGCATCGTAAAAGTTTGTGTATGATGCCAAGGCAGTCTTGGGGTGTAACATGAGAAAGTAAAACGAGCCAAAGCACAAGACTGAGAAGGCTTGTGGTTGGCAAAACACAGCGGAGTGATGACACCACTTGAAATGCCACTATTTCAGCAACAGTGTCGGCAGTTGCCCATAATAGTCTACACACCACACCTGTGACTTCATGAGTTACCACGACGGATGCATTCGAAGCTTAAAAGGAGAAGTCTGATGAATCTCATCCCACCGATGTTGCTGCTACGACGCCCGACGCGCTAATGGCGGGAGAAGATCCGATGACAATCGTAGAATCAGTGGAGCTTTGGGACAAAGTGCGACGTGTGGGTGCCAAATATGGGCACAAGATGATGGGCGTCCAACTCGACAGCAACGGACGTCCTATGCTCAACAGGCTACGATCTCTCGTTGTGCTATGGTATGTAAAGACAAGGAAAGATATCACGTCTGGAGCGCAAGCTGGATGATATCGCGTGGAATATACTTGTCGCAGTGATGGTGCTCTGCAAGCCACGGCAAGCTGCTAAAGCTACGCTATGTGCTTTATTAAACAGGTAGTTTACAGGGTGAATGACAAACAGGGAACTAAAACAAGTCAAAGGAAGCTGTCCAAACTCCGCACCTCTGAACTTCTATATATAGCATACTACGAATAATACTTAACATTAAGCTAATTAGTTGTCGGTAAAGAAGTTTGACGCGTTTGCTGTACGGAATAGCGAAATCCAAAGGACGGATTAGCCTCGCTCATCGCCAATATCACTTGCTTTCCCGCTGTACGGGTGCCCGGATGCTAAGGTGGATAGCTCACTTCGGGACTTTGCTATCATTCGCCATTTGTAGGCAGTCCTTCTCCGCAGAACGATAAGGCTAGCGTGACCCAAACAGATTGATC